CCTAACCTAACCTAACCTAACCTAACCTAACCTAACCTAACCTAACCTAACCTAACACATACTGGGCGATTTCATGTGCACATGTTGTTTGACGTCATAGGTGGTCAATTCCAAATCTCAGCAACGGCGGAAGGTATGACCTTGAGATTAACACAGGCGACTTCTACACCCCCGAAAACCCCAACGGGCCATCTAACACCCCCCGTCACAATTCATGCAAACGCTCGTTTCCGGGCGGTCACCAGTTGTAACCGTAACCTAACCTCTCAGACAGGGAGTGGATCATTGACGTTGCTTTAGGTCAGGAATATTTAGAAGGTTATCTCATCGTCCTTAGATGAAAATTTTCAAGATAGTGCGAATCTTAAATTTAGTTTGGTACCTTTATGTATACACCTCTATATATTGTTTGTTCACCTAATCGCCATTCCATTACATTCGTTTGTCAAGATATCCATAGCAAAAGGAAAAAAAATATGTACAAGTAAACCATTACACTGGAATTGCCAGAGCTGTGTTGACAGCGTCTGTCTTGACTTCTTCGAGTTTATTAGGAGTTGGCTGGGTGACAAACTTGACAGCAAATGGATGGTATCCCTGATTTCTGTCAATATTGATCTTTCTGAACGGAATCGGATTATTAGGATCAACGTCGTACCGTCGTGTCACTTGAGACCACCACGCATTTCCACTTAATGCATATGGTACATTGAGAGTGAATTTGGTAGCATCCTCAGACTTTGAAAGCTCACCGTCTTCGAACACCTTCTTGGCAATTTCAACATATCTGACCTCACATCGGTCGATGTCATTTACAATCTTCTTGATAGCCTCTTCTTTCGTAAATTTGTCATTAACTTGAAGGAGTGTCAAGATGTTATTGCTGGCTGTATCAGTGAGATACTCTTTAGTGTAGCTCATGTAGTCATTGACAAAGGCTATATGTACTAATATGCGTGAGTTTCTTACTTATAACTATTTTAATGCTTACGTCCAGCAACATCTTCTAACTCTTTAATCAATGGATGTTCAAGTTGAGCGTCACTGAGATTAATACCAAGCGTGTATCTTCCATAGCCCCACATAAAGTACTTAGTCTTGTCAATCATTGTCTCAGGCAGCTACATTTTTACTCACGGCACCAACATTTCTTCTTCTTGTCGCAACATATTGATCGTAATTTTCGTAATGAATGTTTCCGTGGGCGTTAAAGTAGTCAACTGTAAGCCTGACAAGTTGCTGGAATGTGTTTGGGTCACTTGTTCTTTTAATGTTGCCCCAAGCTTCAGCAATAGCAAGTTCTGCACGATCATTTGGGTCAGGCTCCTGCGGTTTGTTCAGTGGCCCTGCGCCTTGGAAAATCTAGTACTCACCTTGCTACCTTCAACTAGACCTTTCAAAATCGGTAATAAGTGTAGTTTTTGGTTTCTATCCAAGTCCTCATCAAGACAGAAGAGTAAGGTGACGAATCTTGCCGCCCAGAGCGTGCGCTCTCGGTCACCAAATGGAAAACCTAATGCAGATTGAGCAAAACGGTGACAGGTAAATTTATACTCACACATAGTGGAAAAGTTGCCGAGATTGCTACTTAAAAGATACTCCTTCACATCCTCTTCCTGGAAAGGCCACTTTTCGATAACCCATTGATCATTATCTTGTTGTAATAATTAGCCATCATAGATCAAGCCACTTGTCAGTCCTACCTTTTTCTAATTGTTCCCAGTCAATGTGGTCCCTGGCTAAGGGGAAGTCTTTCCCAAACAAAGATTCAACAGAAGGGCCTTCTGACCAAATTTCGTATGCTTTAGATGTCATTGTTAAATATCAGTAGGGAAAAGGGCGCAAACATTACCATTTTATTTGGATTGTGTATCATCTGCGGCCGCCAGGTAGGACCGAAAATTTTCAAACGTCCAATAAGGCTACTGACAGCATAGTGAAGCTAGATTTATGTACCATTAGAATTGCTGGCATTATAATACATACTTGAGCGCGATTATTATTTTCGAAGGTTCGGAATGTTTAAGATTATAGATAGCGTCCGCATATTACGTGATAGCTGCATACTCCGCTTACACATCCAAAAATAGCGAATCAGCTTCTAAAGCGTCAAACAGCTTACTCGATTCTTGAAAACTTACTATCATCACTCCAATTCATCATGTCAACTCCTCGTGTATGGCTCATTACTGGCACTTCATCTGGTCTCGGAAGAGCACTCGTTGAAACTATCCTTGCAAAGGGAGAAACCGTTGTTGCTACTCTCCGCAAGCCAGAAGTTCTTAAAGACCTCTCTGACAAGTATGACCAATCAAAGCTTCTCGTTCTTAAGCTTGATGTCACGAATAGTCAAGACATTGACGACGTTTTCAGTAAGATAAAGGAAGTCTACAATAGACTTGATGTCATCGTTAATAACGCTGGTAGAGGTATTGTTGGTGAATTTGAAGCTACCACCAAAGAAGACGGCAAGTCACTATTCGATATTAACTTCTGGGGGCCAGTCGAAATTACCAAGAAGGCTATTGAATTCTTCAGATCGGTCAACAAGCCAAGTGGTGGTCGTATTCTTAATATCGCTTCGATGGCTGGATACAACGCTGGTCCAGGTATGGCGATTTACAGTGCAACAAAGCATGCACTCGTAGGCGTCTCAGAATCGATTGCTAGAGAGCTTGATCCAACCTGGAATATCAAGGTGAGTTACTTAATTATTACTATTAGACTTCATTCCTAATCTACATTCAGATAACTACAATTGGACCAGGTGGATTCAGAACTAAGGCTTTAGACAATGTCACCTCTTTGCCACCACACCCAGAATATACTGAACCATCTCTTATCACCAACCTCATCAGACAATATCTCCCAGTAGTCCCACTTCCCGGCGATGCTACAAAGGGAGCTGAGGCCATATATACCATTTCAAATGTGGAAAATCCGCCAGCAAACCTCATTCTTGGTGCCGATGCTAGAGAGCAGGTCCAAGAGAGAATAAACAACCTTACAAAGGAGCTTGAAGCTTACGAGGATTTGTCCGCCTCAACAGCGTACACCGAATAAATACATGTAAATAAATGATTTATTACGAATATTTGTGTTTGTTAAGCACCTTCGTTTCTACGACATCCTTAGACACAGTGATTGTCTTGAATTTACCTCAAACAGAAATATATTATGATAGGAAAGCAAAATGTGTATGTTTCTACAGATTAAATCCTAAGTACCTTCAATAATCTTTGAGCTGCTATCATTTGCGTTGATCTCCTCATCAGAAGTTGTCGTTTCATTTTTATTTTTATTTTTATCCTTATAGATGAACGCTAATGTAATTAAGACCGTAATGATAATAGCGGCATAAAGACAGGCTGTGTAGACAGTCCCTTTGAATGCTCTTGGCATTTCCGTTTGCTTCCACAGCAGCAAAGGCACCCAAGCTTGGAAAACAGCTGCAATGTGTTAGTGACCGGCTCTAGGTGTGTGACTTCAATACTTACTCGCAAAATCATTACCAAATGCAAGAATTATCGCTCTTTCCTCGTTACTTTCCGAACACAGTTCATTTATCCACGCTTGCATCAAGCCGCCCTGACTAATACCGATGCCCACAAGATAGTAAAACGCGATCCGGACGCTTTCGTTGGTGCTATACGTTGGCAGTGCAGCCTGCACAATTGCGACGATCACGGCGAACGACTAAAGGGTGTTATTGTAAGGTCAAATACAATGTGTCAACGTACCGAAGTAAACACTATTGGTATCCAACGATTGCCTTTGAATGCTCCATCAGACAACCAGCCAATTACCCAACTCCAGACGATAAAAATGGCGACTTGACCATTGGGATACAAATTGATCTGTGGCACGGTGTATTTGCTGGTACCATCCTCATTTTTAGCATTGGAAAGCCTTTAATTATATTAATTCGGTCAGTAATGTAGATTGGTACCCACCAGAATGTATACACTTGAAGAAAATCTTGCGTGTTGGAGAAAAATATCATGAGCCAGGGAAGTATCCATACCTTCCAGTTTCCAAATATTTTTACAAGGTGGCTCTTTGTGAACTTTGCAGCACTTTTGCGGTCCTCCAATTCCATGCGTTTTCGCATAATAGCAATATCATATGCAGACCAGATCTTACCAGGTTTGATTTTATCTGGAAAACTAGGATATAGAAGAAATCCGGCCATCGCAATTGGTAGGGATATTATGCCATCTATGATAAACATCCATCGCCATCCGCTACGCTTCATAACACCATCAAGGTTCGTATACGCTGCACTTTGGAGGATGCCACTAAAAATTTGTCCAGAGCCTGCCATACTAATGAATAAAACACCTCGCTATTTGAATTAGAGAAAGTTATAGAAGGAAAGACAATGTCTCACCTTCGCCAGTTCGTCTTTGCGATAAAAATTACCAACGACAAATAGAGCCCCTGGATAAAAAGAGCTTTGAAATAAACCCACAAAGAAGCGAATGATCGAGATATCAGTTGGACTTTTGACTGCACAACAAGCAAACGTAAATACGGAAAACATAACCTGTTATTGGATATGAAATCAGTGCTGTACAGTCACAGTAAACATACCTCGCAAAACGGTAGCCAATAACGAGGTGAAAGTCTCGTAAGTATGAGGTTACTTGGAATTTGACCTATAGCGTAGCCAATTAACCTTGTCGTTAGCATTGTATTGTACTGATTGCCTTGGAAGCCCAGTTCTTCTCGCATTCCACTACAGCCCTGTGAGACATGATCCAAAACAATTTAAGACAATCTACCTGACATATGCGTTCGTGACGTTTGAAGCATCAAGTGTTTCGCAAAAAAAGCCAAGTGAGAGGAGAGAAATGAGGATAACATCCAATTTGAATAAGAATTTCCGCCTGCTTCAAGTCAATATTTTACCCTTTGCTTTAGGAAGATGCTCACTCTCGTGGATCTTTGTCCTGTGACGACAGTGATGAGATAAAAGCAGCCAAAGAGAGCACACTTACGAGACTGTCCCATATATATTTGCTCCAAAAGGTCCTGTTACTGTCTAAGTCCTTACGAATGAAGCTAACATCGTATTCCTCCTCAAACTCAAGGCGTTCACCAACATCGTCCTCAATTTCCTTCATGAGCATCATATGTTTTCCAAACTAAGGATTTATAAACATAACTGTTACGAGATTTGTTGCGACAATTAGTAATGCGTCCGCGAGGGATTGTCGGCCTTAAATACGCTAAGCCTTTTGACTCAGTATTAGTAGAAATGTCAAACGAACACCTAGCCCGCCAAATTGATCTCATTAACTCAAGATTTGCTGTTGAGCAGACACTGGCTAATTACGTCAGGAGGGTGGATGAACGTGCAGCAGTCGAATTGTCAGAATTGTTTACAGAGGACAGTGTCACTCAACTGTATGTGAATGAGAATGGCACAGACGTAGCTTTCAGACCACCCCTGATAGGTAGACAAGGTGTCATTAGGTAAGTAGAGTGTTTATCACAAAACTATAATACCAATAATAACGAAAATTAAGCGCGGTACACAAGCAAATGAACAAGCAATGGAAGGGCAAATGGGGTCACCATTCTACCTCAAACATTCTTATTGATATCGACTTGGAAACTCGCACTGCTAAAATAGATGCTCAATTGGTAGTCCTCAAATCTCTTCAAGCACCACCTCCAGAGAACGTGGAAGAAGGAAGTATCTTGTTCTTGGGTACAGTTGAAAATGTGAATTCCGGCTACTACAAGTCCAGGCTTCGCGAAATCGAGCCAGGGGTCTGGAAATTCTACGAACACGGTGTTGTCCTGGATTTGAGTCCTCATTACACGTTTAAATAATTGTAAATACAGATGCAATCACATTACAAGTCAACATATTCAGTACAAACTACGTATCGGAGCGACATAAATTATGCGGACAACTCACCGTTTCCGTGACGTCGCTTGATTGCGTCAAATTAGGTACGTGACAGGTGTTCTTATCAGAAGTATGGTGTCAGGATAATTAAGCTGATTAATATAAGCGGTTTTAATTGTAGTCACTCGTTAGCTCCGTGTTTTCAGTCAGACAAAAGCTGCAAGTATGCTAAGTGGTTGACTTCTGTGTTATTCTATAGGGAGAAAGGTTTCATTTGGACTGTTGTAAAATTAGATGAGTAATATGTCTATCATTTTCCTTCAGACCACGAAAATGTAATGTAACTCAGGTGAAGTCATTAGCCAAGAACTGGATAGATCTTTACCGAGAATCGTTTATTGCAAACGTCACATTGAAACTTCCGAGTGGATTCTCCGACGGATGAAATTTTAATAATTTGATTACTTGGTATTTACTCTCGAATTGTAAGAGAATTCGAGGAGCTTGGTGGCTATTTCCATCTTTTGAAGCAAGAGAGGCACTTGAAAACTTATAAATATTATACAACTCGAACTATATATACAAATGATCTCATCGTGTCTTTCGTACATCCTTTGGGCCGCTAACAGGTAGCAGAGTGTTTAAGTAAAACCCTCTCTGTTAGAAAAACCTTGCTACACTTACTGCAGATAAAATCGGGCTTCTTTCCGTGTCTATTAACTTCGTGTCGCAATCTGTCGTGCGTTCTTGAAAAATTGACACCACAGTTGTAAGAGCAAGGGTATGAAGGTGTAGGCTTGCAATTATGGGAGTTCATGTGTAACCTGAATGTATATTCCTTCTTCATTTGTCTTCCGCATCCACTGACTGGACAGGTCCAAGGTCTGCCTTTCCCCTTCCTGTAAACTGTTCGTTAGAAACGCATTTAGGTTTATTGTACCCTACGCTTCGATCATGGGGAACTCGGGCGACTTTGGAGGTGTCAAAACGTTCTGGTCGCCGGCGAAGTCATTAAGTGCTGTGTCCAGCTCTGTAGTCTATCAGTGCATCGATTAGACCATGCTGGCCGATAAAGAAAAACACCTACCGTCTGCTCTTTAAAGCCAGACCCATCTAAATAATCCTGTAGTATTTTACTAAAATCTATTGAACTATCCAGTCCTAAATTAGCTTCGCGATATCGTCATCAAATTAGATCATGATAGGAAGTAGTTGCCTCACAAAATAGATTTTCACCAGCAGCTTCATTTGCAGTTGTACTATTGACGTTTAATATATTTTGTGCTAGATTATTACTGTGGTCGCCGGTTGACATAGACTGATGGGGCTGTGTCGATACATTAAAATCCATTGTGGTATCTTTGGCCTCAAATAACGGGCTTGTCGTGCTCGAGGCTATGCATCTGTGAATTGGAAAAATACATTAGAATTAGTTAACGTACATTTTTTCCCATTCAAGCTATCGTTGAGATTTATTTTGATAACCCGCCTGTCAGGAAAATCGAGTGACCTGAGTTCGATATTTTTTGTACTGCAATCACCACTAACAGCACTTGGATTTACATTCTTAGTGTCGTTTTGAGTGAGAATGGGAACTAGTTCAAAATTAAGTTCTTGCGAAACATTGATGCTGACAAGTAACTCGAATTTAAAGAATGTCTCTAGCGGAATTGAAATTGACATTATGTGGAAGAAGAATGAAGAGGTTTAGGAGGACGGTATCTAAATTTAAAGTATTGACTAATTGAATGTAATTGCAACTGCATCGTTCCTAAAATTGCATATCTGACGTGATCGTATGCTATTATAGCCTAAAAAGGCTCATAGAGATCTGTTCTATAGTATCCGACCCTTATCACAGCATTTTGTAAACAACGTTATCAGAAAATTTTCAACGGTGATTAGGAACAGAATATATTATGTGTTACACTGCATTCAAAAGTAAAGGTAAACTAGGTTCGTCTTTTTCATCGGTATGTGGAGACTGGATTGCACCGATTCTCCAAGAAATATTTACGTCCGCTTCTTTGAATTCAAAGGTTTGTATTAAATGTGATAAGATAACTTTCATCTCAAGCAAAGCAAATCTGTATCCTATACACGCTCTAGTTCCACCTAAAAATGTTAAAATTGAGGACCAAACGCCAGGGAGTGATTTGGATTTGTCTTTTTCGCTTTTTTCGACATCGTCCCATCTATCTGGTTTAAACTCTCTGGCATCTTCCCCCCAAACAAATTTACTTCTGTTGGCGGCCGCAAGCCCCATCATTACTGTTGTGCCAGCTTTGAGCGGAATAGCTGAGATATGATGGCCATCTGTCGTGTGAATAGGTCTTGACAGAGGAAGAACCGTGTCCTTGGTTGCGCTGGAAATTTATCAGGGTGTCAGTATATAGGCGGTGAGTATTCTTACATTCTTTCCATTGTGATCAAGGGTGGGAATCTATGTAGGGTTATCTTGGTCTAGTAGGGAAAACAAAGACTCACAATCTTAAAACTTCCTTTATAATCTTTTCCAAATATGGCAAACTTTGGACAACGTCGTGTTCGAAGTTTCCGTCGGCGGCCGATGCGTTCTTGATTTCGGCTCGGAGTTTGTCTTGCGCTTCTTTGTTATTTGATAAAACTTCGAGTATACGAGAGAGTGCACCGGATGTCTATAGGCCTATAAACGTTACAGTAATATTGACAAGCAAACCTACAGTATCATGGGCTGCAAAAACGAGAAGACTAGAAAGTAGGTCAGATGAAACTTTCAGTCATCTAGTAATACTTGCGTTATCATACCGAGTATTTCGTCTCTTTCTAGTCTATTTGAGGCTTTAGCTGAATTATTCGCCTTGACTTTGCAAGGTATTCAAAAGTTGTCTTATTAGGTAGTCAAGTACCCACAGATACTAGTCATTATATCACTTCCGTCGGGAACGCCAGCTTCAAATGAGTCATTCTTAAATGCCTTTGATTTCCTGTCGTAAATCTTCACTGAAGTACCGTATATTAAGTTGACAATACTCTTCATTTTCTTGAGTGATGCAATGGGCAGCTTATCTACAACCCATTTTCTGAAAACACGAGGACCGAGTTTAATGAGAGTTGGAAGAATAGGGATAAAAACGCGAAGTTCGGTAAGAGTTGGACTGTGATTCATGTCAGACTGAAATACCTCGGAAGGTTACTTTAATCTTACATGAGATTACCAGCAGCCTCACCATAAGCATCACCCTCTTGTTCAAATGAATATCCCAATCCACATTGACCAATGGCCTCGAGGGTAACGTGAGAGAAGTGCTCAAGGATGTCTACTTTGACGTCACCTTGAGTACCTACTTCCGCCTCAAGCTTTTTTATGAACTGACGAAAATTTAGGAAGGAATTCGGACTCTATCTACTCACGTTTCCAGCGATTGAATTAAGAATTGGTGCCAGTTCTTTAGTATGACCTGCTGCGAAAACTGGGTTAAGCGTACGACGTTGCTTTCTATGTTGGTGGCCTCTAACACCACTAACACCGGGACCGAATAAGAGCTGAGATAAAGCCAACGACCTGTCCGGTGCTTCGAAAAGTTTCCCATCGTTAAAGAGAATGTGCTGCAAAGCTCTTGGATCGGATACATATAAGCTGGACTCTCCAGCTAGGCCTTTATATTTAAATATATCACCGTATTTATCTACCAGTTGCTCGTGATAAAAGAATCCATTTGGATCGAAGAGCTTAAGCATGTGCCCTAATATTCTATCAAAAAATGAAATATATAGCTACTTCAACATACCAGTAAGCCAGCTATCTGAAGATGGACCATTGATATTCTTAAGAGGTGATTTTGTGTTCACTTTAACTACGAGCCAAATCAAGACAACACCTAGAATTACCCCGCTTCCAACTTTATAATAATTTCCTACTATGTCTGCGATGAAGGTCATATTTATAAAATATCCGTTAAAGTCACGAAATTTGACTTGATGCAGGACATGCTTATGCGGCCGCAAGCCAATGAAACCCGCATTATTTTGAGAAATTTCCTTACGACTCTCTATAATTGAATCATTATGGCTTTTGACTATACGTTAAACTGGACGTACGCCGTGGGAGCAGTTACGTTACTGTTCTTAGTTGTATGCAGACCAAGGGTTAAGCACCTACCACCTGGACCACGGAAGTTGCCTATTATTGGTAATGCGCATCAGCTAATTGGTAAAAACTTGGTTCAGTATCTCGATGGGCTTGCCAAACAGTATGGTGAGTCTAATATTATGTTTGACTGTTCTAAATCTTTTTCCAGGTCCCCTCGTACATTTACAGATCCTCAATCAATCTATAATTGTAGTAAACGATTATCAAACTGCCAAAGATCTTTTTGAGACTAAGCATAAGGTTTATAGTGAGAGGCCATCGTTCGTATGCATCAACACCTAATAATCTCAATTGACCTAATTCTAAATCAGATTCTGGATGGCATCTCAGTTGATGCAAAAGGGTTACATGATGCCTTTTATTTCAAATAATGAAAGGTATGGCATATTTGTGGTGCGCCCATCTTCTAATAAGTTGGTCAGGTTCAAGAAAGTGAGAAAACTTCTCGTCAGTGAACTGAGACCTGTCAAAGTTGCCTCAGCATTCCACAAGATACAGACCTTTGAAGTTCAGAGACTAGTAAAAGTAAGCTTATGTGTTACATTTTATTGGTTTCTAACGGTTTTGTAGACTTTGGTCGATACACCGGCATCATTTAGAGATAACATACAAAGATCTATCACGTCAATCGTAAGGCTTTTAGTAGAAAACTCAGCTTTGCTAATCACTGGCTAGATTATGAGTGGATGTTATGATCTTCCCATCAGATCTGAGGAGTCTGCAAAGGACGCTCGCAAGGTTGCTCAATTGGCTGAGGAGATGTAAGTGAATCTACACGGGTCAGAATTTCTCTAACCTTTACAAGTGTATATGCAATGGAGGCTGGTAATAACATCATTGATGCTCTACCCGTCCTGCGCCATGTCCCCAGACTACCTGACAAGGTATATGCCGAGGATTACTATCAAAGAGCCGACGGCATCTACAAGGGCTTAATGGATAGTGTAAAGGATCGTTTAGTGAGTAGTGCTTATCCTTTTTATAATCTTACGTGTGCTCCCAGCGACAAGGCCAGAAACTTGAAGGAATTGCTAGTAGACTCCTTCAAAGCACTGAAGATCAAGATGTTGACTATCAAGAGCAATACTGGGTGGGTCCCTATTACAGTTTGGTTTGAATCTGACGATAACACAGGCTCTTGGCGCATTTTACCTTGCCGGTTCTGATACTCAATCAGTATTTTCGAGTATCATGATGTATGTCTAAAGACCAGAAGTAAAAAAGCTCTGACGTAATAAGGATGGCCTTGGCCCTTCATCCAGATATTCTCAAAACCGCTCAAGAGGAAGTCGACAGAGTCATTGGACCCGATCGCTTGCCAACCCATGAAGACGAGCTTAATTTACCCTACGTGAGGAATCTTTAATTCCTGGTGGTACACCAATAACCATTTTATCAGCTTAAGGCATTGATCAAGGAAGTATTCAGATGGAGACCAGTTGGACCCATTGGTATACCTCATGCTTCCGGTAGCGATGATCTCCATAACGGCTATCACATTCCAAAAGGATCAATTGTTATTGGAAACATATTGTGAGCAGCTCTTTTACATTGAATTTAAACATAACCAAATCCAGGTCAATGTCAATGGATGAACGACTTTTCAAAGATCCACATCTTCTTAATCCGCAACGCTACATAGACGACCCAGAGCTCCCAGTATTTGTGTTTGGATTTGGAAGACGGTAAGCAAAGCTATGTTTCTGGAGAATATACTTACGTTTTGTCAGCATCTGTCCTGGCCAGCATCTCGCAGAAGCCACACTTCTCTTAGAATTCTCAACAATAATATGGACATTAAATATCGAGCAAGCAAGGGACGAGAAAGGAAAGCCTATACCTATCAATATCGACCATGCAACGGGATTCCTTCCAGGTGGATTGATGAAACCACATCCGTTCGAGATAAGAATCACGCCAAGATCATTAGCGAGGGTGAAATTACTAGATGAAACCTTTGAAAACTTAAATCACGCGGAGTAACGTAGTCAAATTGTACATTCTAACATATATTTTCAAGTGTGCTTGGACTATGCGTATTATGGTCCAACGAACTTTAGTTTTCTGATTAAATGTCGTCCACGATTAATGGTTGTCGGTGCTACAGCCGTGCCCCAAAGAAGTACTCGTAAGCGTATTCTGACACGCTTTCGAGAAGTGAAATTAAGAAGTTATACTGAGCACCTTTGCCAATATGACCACCTGTGATTTCCTGGCGATTAGGAATAACGATGGTGAATACATCTCCTACATCAAAGGCTAATATGATATATCCTAATTTGCATTAATCAGAATTAACCAGAAGTTCAAGAGATGAAAGCGATTTGAAATATATCAAAGCTAATGAGCTGGCATTTCGAAATTTGATACAAATAATTGACTTACTTAGCACAATGATTGGTTTCAATAAGAATTTCACAGCTATACATCAGCTATTGAGCAGGACTCACATAAGTATCGCTGAGAACATTGCCAATCTTTCGCGAAATTTAGAATCATACTTGCAAAGGACATACGTAAATCCGTACTCCAGTAAAAATATAATAAATGAAAACAAAAATTTCGACTCGCTGTAATCATACGACACATTGACTGATCAGATTTCGCTAGAATATGAATACATGATATGAATCAAGTTTCACCCTCTGTATCAATATAGCTTATACACACTCTTTATTTTATTGAAATTTGGACTCAAGGTTACGCTGCAATGAAAAAGAAAATTAGCATCGTGAGACTATCAATTTTTTCTCATTTGCATCCACTCGATACTGTTTTATTAATGGATCTGTTGGATCTTCAGAAATTTGAGAGAATACTGTTTTTCTTATAGAATCAATGTTATCTATTTTTATTTTCATCTGATGTATTTTATTACACGTCTCCAACTTATTATGATTAACAAAAAATTATTCCAATGAATAGAACAAATCATTATACAATCTAATCGCATAAAAGCTTAAGGAAACTAAAGGCAAGTTAAAGTAAACCCGTAGCCTTAAAAGTAGTACCTTTATCATATTCGGTCTGGCTTTCGGCTCCAACAGGTAGTTTTGCTTAGTTAGCCACCAGTCAACCACGTCTATAAATTCATTGTTTATACTATTGACACTATTTAAAGAAGTTTGGCTTACCAAGGCTTCGAACGTTAAAGGTGTGACATTTAGATTCTCAATTAGAATATGATGATTAAGTATTTTGTGACTCTCAGCATTAGTTTGTCATTGTTCCTTGTTGTCTTGAGTTTACGAACAATGAGGAATTTAAAGGTCGATTCTCGGTATCTACAGTTGCAATTCATTGTTTTAGAAAAGATTGATTTACTAACAGCACTAATGATTTTGAGACAAAGAGCGTTTATTATTTCATAAGGCAGTCTCATGTAGGCTAGCTTTAATATCTTGTGTAGATGGGTTGAATATACTCCTATTTTGTAGCAGCTTGAATTGATCCACAGTCATCTTTGCCCCTTCCCTCCTGAAGAAATAGCCTTTCACGTAACGCATGGATTGTTGAAAGAGAGATACAATGGGTTTATAGTTACCACGATCGTTCTTCAAAGAAATTCCCTAATTCTGCAGCATTGTAAAATGCGATATCCTTCTCTATAAGTCGACATATAACTTTTTCAGGCTGCCGAAGGTTGTCTGAAGTGAAACAGTTTAATATAGTTTGACTTCTGACTATGTCAGTATAGGTACTTGTTTTGTATTTTGGCTCTTTCTCACTTTTGACTAACTCATTCGAGAAGGTTGAACCCCTTGCTGAAAACACAATAAAGCTGCATATAAATGAATCGATGATGAATTTGTTCATTTAGCTTATCAAATTACACAACTATACCAACGACTCGCAGAAGTGAATACATCATACGTTGCTCATTTTTTACACGTATTATTCCAACAATTTCAATCAATTTATACTTTTCAAAGATAGCTACTTATTATTCGTGGTTGTGGGAAAGCTGTTAAGCGTGATGTGTGCGTCCTTTTCATTGAATACGCTCTTTATCATGGCGTTTCTAGGGTCACGTTGCTCTCTGTGGTAGAAGCTATAGTAAATGAATACGTTGTGTTCTTGCTGAGTCCTTATTCTACCTTTTCAATGCGTGTTATATCACTTATCAAATTTTATTCTACGCCTTTTTAATCTGTTCTCATTGAATCATTCCTCATATATGGAACACTACTTCATCAGCATTTGCACCTAATCTAACTTAATTCCAAATTTACAACTAGCAAAAAAATTAGAGGAAAAAAGTAAGACATTTTATTCAAGTCCTGGTGCTAATGTACGATAATCTGGTCTGTCCGGGTGTCTGTCAGTTACTAATCTCCAACCACCATCAATCCTGATGTCTTGACCATTCATCATTCCATTTTCAATTAGGAATAAAACTGTTCCAGCAATTTCGTCATGTTCTATGGCTCTAGCTGGAAATGATGATGACCTTTCCAACTCACTTAAGAAGTACGGAAAAACGGGTCCAGTTATATTAGAATTTATTATGGATGGTGATATACTATTAACCCGAATACCTTTTGATTTTTAGCAAACATCACTATTAACGATTCTTACATACCACTTTCACCAAGAAAATCACTCATTGTTCTAGTAATACCTAAAACTGCACTTTTCGTTGGTCCATAACCAAGATTTCTTGCATAACAATCATGGCCAGAAACTGAAGCGAAATTAATTATTGCACCTCTTTCTTCTTTAGTTTTGAAAAACCCTTTTGACGCATACTTGAGGGGCTCATGTCTTTCATTAATGGCATCTGCAACAACCGCATTTAGAATATACGTTCCGAGTGTCTGTTTTAGTGCGCTTAGACTTCAAGGTGCTTATATTTATTATAGAAAACCCACATTAACATTTAGTGCGTTTCTAAAGTTTGGAATAGAATCTGAAACTATGGGTGACCATGGCTGTCTTACAGCAATGCCTGCACAATGAACAGCGCCTACTAACTTCTTTTCAAAAGCGTTAGATGCAGCTTTAACGGCTTTCTTTGTTGAATCTTCATCAGTAATATCAGCTTGTATATAGAGTGCTCGATCCTTGCTAATTTGTTGAGCAAGTGGAATTGCAACTTCAGCTTTGACTATGTCAAATAGTACGACATATCCATCCTTCTCCAGAATAGCTTTAGCAACGGCTTTACCACAACCACCTACACCACCAGTAACTATGCTGTAAATCTGTATCAGTTGATAATTTGTAAGTTAAAACATTAATACTCACAATGTGTTTGAATGAATTTGCATCTTTGATTCTGTTCTGAAGTTATTAAACTGACATGCCAACAGTAAGTTCCAAGCTATTTATACCTTAATGAAATGTTATCACAAGAACAGTCCGAGTAAAGTGGAAGTCCTATAGATCTTGTTGGTTACATGGACAGTCCGAGGATAGTGGAAGTTCTGTATTTCTCTAAATAAGAATCATCCCCTTATAAAATGGTTAGAAGAGCATTTCATTATCATACTTATAGGCTACAACAGATATGGTGTATCTTTCCGATCAAATGATCAATGATGTAATTAACTACCAAACCAATCGAAAGTTAGTAAACCCCTTCCTGACCAGTAGACTAGGTGCTGGAAGCAACGTATAGTCGGGTTACAATTTTACCCATATAGATATAGCGTACCGAACTAATCACACCGACATTGTAATAAAGCAAAATTATCAATAATCAAATAAAAAAGAAAACGTTTCGGCGCTATTTGTGACTATTATGGTCTAGCATGAACGCTTGAATATTTCTTGTTCATTTCACTAGTCCAATATAAATGTGCTAGCAGTACAATATATTCATCAACTTTGAAAATCGTAAAATAAATAAATGAAAAGATCATAAACCTTTGAGACCAATTAATATCAATTATATAGGCATCTTAGGCTAATTTAAGTATTTGTAAAGAAATTTCTGCCTAACATTAAACTTAAAACCTGATGGCATTAGTTATTGAGGAACATTGAGTTTTCCCCTAGATAGTAATCATCCTTGCTGAGACTATACTGAGATCCAAACCAATGACCCTTGCACTCGGAAATGAAAACATGATCATTCAAATAACCTCTTTGGTCAAAGTCGTAAGAATTTAAAATTCCAAGCTTTGCAACAAAATCCTCTTTGTTCGCGAAGTGCTCTGTGAGTTTTGTATAACGATGAAGAGATTCTGAACCGTCCTTCGTCTTCCAGTCTAAGCCTGGATTTCCGAAGGTAAATATATTAAGTCGATTGATGAGATCATCTCTCTGTGCCTTTGCTTTATACTCATCCAGGATTTTTTGTAGTACGAGCCTCAATATGAGGCATCCTTGGGAGTGTGCAATCATCACAACTTGGTGAGCGGCTTTCCCATTCGTGTTTGGCCATAGTGCATCTACTAATTCTTTCTTCAATACGTTCTGAGCATCCATGCTGCTTTTTGTCAATTGAAGGAGACTTCTTTTATTCTTTTCATTTCTTTCACCTGCACACTCGATCAAATCCCAAATGATACCATCACTCCTATTAAATATTCCAGTTATTTCTTTTTTGAACCTATCCCTCAACTTGTTACATCCGAGTTCAAGCCATTGGTACTCTCCACAAATACCATTTAGAAACAACCATTTCTCCTCAGGCGCATTAAGCTTTGCAGTGGTGGTTGGTGGTAAAGCAATTCCATGTTTAAAATCAGTATGAAGGACCGTGTTCATATCTAAGTTCTCAACGCTAGACTTGTCCTTATTCGCTAATAAGGAAACTAAGGATAAGATCAATCTCTGCAATTGATATACTATAGCGTATATGTTCTTCGTCGACGTCATATACCATTCATTATAGTCTGACTTATCGCTTTTAGAGAATTCTACGGCACCTGCTAAATCAATCAAAAACGTGAAAAATTCTGTTCTGTGCCTCCATGCCCAATTTAAAGTTTCACTGTTTTCATTAAATACTTGAGTAAAAATGTGCAAGACATTGGCGAGATTATCAGTCATAACTTTCACGGTGTGAATAGTGGCTTGAAACACTAATTCTGTGACTGATACAGAATCTGCAGCGAGAAAATAGTCTTTTCCTGTCTCTAGAACTGTGTCAGCTAAGCCAAGGCTCACGCTAACGCCAGTAGCCAAACGTCCAACAGGCGCTACAACAGTATCCTTAACTATCTTTAGGAGATTGCTGAGCATTAATGGTGACAATTTGAGGGAAGGTTTACAAATATTTACCAATTAATGATTTCACATTAATATAATTCGCGCCTTTTAAATGAGGTCATTTTTATGACTGGAAAGATAGAAATTTTTATTTATATAATTTTAAATATTGACGTAAATTTGCTTGATTCCTTGAATATTTCGTTAGCATATATTATTACAGTTCCTGAAAATGGTGACGTCATACCATTTGAACAGATATCAATTATTACTTGTGACAATACAACCACATATTACGTAGTACAAGCCTTTCAAAATCTCGTATAATTTCCCTTAAGAATATTAGGATTTCAAGATCGAAAACTAAGAATAGATACCCACTAAGTAATATTGAATCCTGAATGGTGTTCTAGTTTGACCTTCTAATGTAGATCATATTATGAGATTATCGTTATCTACATTTGGTTATTAAAATATATGTATATCATACTAATATTATACTAATATAAGTACTATAATAATAATTAATATCTTATAATTTAATGCCCTTTCATATTAATCACTTATTTATATTAGTCGTTTATTTATTTCTGTTTTGAGACGTTTAAACCAAAGTGGTCACTTTTTATCTTTTGGAATATCATTGGCACTTGATATTCCGTCGGGCGACCTGTACTTAAACATACATGTATCCTCAATGATATCTTTTAATGTCACCATGCTCTATGGTTTGAAACGTTTGTCGTTCGTCCCGGTAACACAACGTACCTTCTCTTATTTCGGGATAGTGAATGTGATACCATAATCTGGCAGCACGTCATCTTACGCTTGTTTCTGAATCAGTTACATGGATTAGTTCTTCAGCTTGCAACTTTATACGTTCAAAAGCGAGCATTTCCTAGCAAAAGCAGCAATGGGCCTATGAGATAAGATGCTGTCACCCACTTGTACATTTTGAGGCTCCCGATAAACGATTTCATTGTCCTTAACAAGTGCGATCAAGCCATTTACTAAAACAATGTGAGGTATATCGTCTCTGCTATGATTCGATAATTACTTCATAAAAAGGATCCACCTGTATGCAGACCGGAAAGCTTCCGAAGTGTATTTGCTTCATATAATTCAATTGCACTATATAGGGGATGCGATTTAACGAATTCTTGAAATTTCTGGGGACCTGTCACTCGCATATCCTCTGTTGCCGTTATGTAATTGGAATTGTTATTTAGAAGTTCATGGTAAGCACCTCTTTGTAGATTATTGGTATATTAAGTGTATAAATAAACCAGTAGAATGTCGTAAATCCATATTTATTGTGAGACAGCCCTAATTACAACTTTACAACTTTACTCTTACGGTAAATTGTTTGAGTTTTCTGATAGCAAATTGGGTACTAGTGGGATACAGATTTTACGCAAAATTTTTGATATCATTTTCACCCTCTTCTACTAACTTGATATTCCCATCTCCTTTACAAACAAACAAACAAAGACCAGGCCTTGAAACTTAGTCTAAGCTTTTCCAATAATAAATGCAGATGACTACACCTATTTTACTAGTAGACGTGTAATTTAGCGAAGCGGGCATATATTTTAATAATCGATGCAGTAGAAATATTTGATAAAGGTGTTGGTTTGGTTACAGCTTATGACTTATTGTCTACTTAGTTTGGAAAATATTCAGTGACTCCCTGGAAGTATAAATAGTGTGAGTAGTTATAAAAGCAGATATATGTTATAAATGCAGGATAACTAGGAATAAAATATTGACACTAATATAATAAGTAGTTATTATACATTTAGTAAGTTCTTGTTAAGTAGTTATAAAGTCAGGTGATAGGTTTATTATCGTTCTTCGTTGTCTTTAAGATGTTAGTGAAAAGGTTCTCAAGCTAAGGAGAAGGACTTATCGTGAAAATAATCTGCAAATACAGTTGCTATACTAAACTAGAAACTAGAACACCTAGGATAATTTGGAAGTGACCATCTCACAATGAAGTGAAATAATAAATAAAACTAATAACCCGACGTCATTTGTTTCATGATAATATTTACACTGGAAATTGGGGGATCATGGATTGTTTATAAGTTAATGATGTCGATAACCATGTTTGACACTTATACGCTCATAGCTACAGTTCAATCTTCTAAATTTTCTGATACAACGTACTTTTATAGCATGATATCCTTCTCTGTTAGGCAAGACAATAAGAACCAGCAAAAGTCAAATCTACGAAAGTGATTAGAATCCAGCAACTAAGAATATTACCTGCTTCAATGTTTTAAAATACCTTTAAATTCTTGAAGATTCCTGCATCATTGTATTATACTTACGTCATACTCAAGATTTCGTAATAGGAACTTCCTAATCCAGAAAATTAATAACGACTAAATAAGCAGTCAGTAAAATGAAGCTCTCTCTTATATTGTACAGTCACAATGCAAATCAAATCAGTGTTTTTAGTATTAGCAGTTGCATTCGCCTCATCGAATGCTTTGCCAGGTGGACATGACAAGCGGGCGAGTGAGGAGTTCCAAGACCCAAAGATCATTCAAGCACTTAAATCATTGGTACATGTAAAGAGAGATACTACCTAAATTGTAAGTGACGTTGAACAATTTGTGCAATCTTCTCATAAGTTTATAGATTTTACAGATCTAATATACATATCTGAATACTACTACATTAAATTTGTCTAATTTACGGAAAGTTACTTTCCTACTACTTCTCCATGTCTGTTGACTTGAATGAGGGGACCTCAGAAATAATCCCATGTTCGATATCATTCTCGTTTGCATTCTCAACCACATCGCTCGGTATTATCAAATTCATCAAAATGGCCATTAGACATCCAATGATTGATGGTGTGGATACGATGGTTTCTATTGTTTCAAACCAACCCTCCAATGCTTCGTTACCATTCGTTTGGACGCCCCTGAAAAAGTTCGCTGCCCAGTCTGGTACTAAAAGAACACCGAATGCAAACATCCATGCAGTTGAAAGTATAATTCTGTCTCTTCTCTGCCATGAGAGCGTACCTAAAATGCGAACACCTGAAACCAAAACATTTGCGAAAAGGAAACTCGTTACGCCTCCTAGAACGGGATTTGGAATTGATAAAAAGACGCCTGATATTTTCCCCAGTATTCCGAACAAAATGAGGTAACATGCGCAGACTATACCAGCGCTTCTGTTAGCAACTCTTGTTAAAGCGATTATACCATTATTCTGAGCTGCATGTCGCGGTTAATCGTGTTCTTTATGCAAGTACTTTACGTACCAAATATAGACATCGGAGCCTGTGTCATTGCACCTGCGAAGATACCAGCAAGACCATCAGCGAGAATACCGCCCTGAATCCTTTCATCAAATTTGTCCCCAGTGATAGACAAACGCGATGCTTCTGAAGCTGCTGTAACGTCACCGAGTGCTTCGATGGAGTTGACAAGATAGATAGCCATAATTGGTAAGATTGATGGTGGATCGAGACGTAATTTAAATGTATGAACCCAGATAAACGTTATCACTGGTGATTCACGTGTTTTATTGATGCAATATCCACAGGCTGCTGCAACGGTGGATCCTACTGCTAAAGCAATGATCAAGCTGCCACTTTTCATGAATGGGCTACCAAATATTTCAACAAGCAGGATTGTTAAAACGGCGAGGAATCCCAATCCAATAAATTCAATAGCGCCGTACGGTAGTGGTCTAGGTGCGTCAGCACTAGGACAGGCGGTAGTACAATCACTTCCACCTGCCCAATTCACGAATCCTGAAGATTGGATCAAATTACATGCGATCATTATGATAACGGTGGAAGATACAACTCTAGGGCAGATCCTTTTGATTACTTTTGAAGGAAGGAGTGATATACCAATTTCCAATAAGCTAGCGAGCATACACGTTCCGATAAAGTACCCATATGCTTCTGGACAAGGTAATTTATTTCCTTGATCATCCATGGGACAGGTTCCATTATTATACATACGGTTGGCCATAGACGAAAAAACCGGTATTGTGTTGAAAGAAACGCCAACAATTGTCACTATACCTGTACCAATGAATTTATTTGTATACGGTATTTTGAGATGTAGCATTTGAATTATAGACAATATTCCACTGCATATAAGAGATGATGATACCATGTAAGATTGTAAGTCAGGAGAGAAATTGAGAGATGAACTGATTATCATTGGCGGCGTTATAACGCCAGCCAGACAGGCCAAAGCGTGCTGTAAACCAGTTACTAGGAGTATCAGAATGGGCAATTCCGTATCAAGAGAGAAGAATGGCGATGGTTTTGTTCGCTTTCTTGGCTTGTTGGGAAGTGAATAAGGAAATTGAGGCTTAAAGAGACTAGCATAGTTGAAACTGTTGTTGTCAAGCCATCCATCTTTCGTCGTTAGTTTCGTTATAATTGCTTTGAGCGTTTGCATGAATTATTAAACAATAAAGTATCGTAATAAATAGACTGATAAGCGATTATTGCTTATCAACGATGCAACAGATAAGAATTTGTGATATGCGAGAACTTAAATTGCGATAAACGAAAATTAAATGCGAATTATATCACGGAAATATAATGGTAAAATCCGTTGCCCTAATTTATCCAAATAGTGGTGGTAATGGAAAGAGAAGATAGCTGAGCTACTAGAGAGGCGCAAGAGAATATGAGATAAGAGGCAGTTCCAACTTGCATTGTAAATTCCATGAAAGAGTTCACATTGGATTTCTGATTATTTGTACCTTATCCTTCCAAGTTGATAGTGAGTGAGTCATATCATTCATACATCATCATAACAACCAAGATCACTAACAGAACCTAAAGAATATGATTCATATACTAGGATCTGGTAGTATCGGTTGTGTTATAGCTTCAAAAATACAAAGACCAGTGTCGTTGATTTGTAGGACAATGCCAAAGCAGCATTCACTGATATACGAACTACCTGATGGAGTGACAAGGTCAATAGAAGACATCCAATGTGAGTATAAAGTTGATATACTGACATAGTACATTTGATAACGACTACGTCTTAGTTCAAAATGCTAGCACGATTACACCAATTAGTAAGCTGATAGTATGCACAAAAGCGGGAGAAGATACGTATAACGCAGTATCATCAGTGCAACATGCACTTTCAAAAGATTCTTCCATATTGTTTCTTCAGAATGGGTTTAAAAGAAATGAAAAGCTAATAAAGGATACAAATCTAGAGAAAAAATCACAAATACTCAATTCAATGATCACATTTGGCGCCTTTTTACGTGAAAAGTTTCATGTTGTTGATGCTGGAACTGGTATTTTACGCACATCAACTCACCTAGAAGAGCCTTTAAACGATAACTCCAAGGAGCTTATTGATGTTTTAATGAAAACTAATTACACAATCGAAGTTGTCCCTCCTAAAGATTTGGAGAACACACTCAAATCTAAAATTGCAGTGAATTGTGTTGTCAATATGCTAGGTGCGCTTTTGAAAGCTACTTCTGGTGAGTTATATGAAAAAGCATATGTTTCCAACGATCAAATTATGCCATCAAATGAGCAATTAATATATGACATTTTGAGGGAGGTCTGCGAGGTGCTTGATCTAGACCTTGCAAGCACAGCAAACTTGACTAGGAAAGCTTCACTTGCAACCTACACTAATTTCAACTCAACTGCTCGTGATTATCATATAAAACATATGACAATGCCTGAGACAGAAATAAAATACATTACGGGATACGTTATAGAGGAAGGTAAAGCAAAAGGAATACCTACACCAGTGAACAACACACTGTACAATTTATTTGCCATGATGAGCCACTTAAGAGAACTTAAACAAGTTTAGTCAATACTCGTAGATACAAATGTATATTCTTAGTTATGGTTTTATTGGATATCCCGCGTCATCGAAAAATACTTGCTTTCCTGATCTGAATGCCATTTGTAAACCGACTACCATTTTTGCAGCCTCATGGGCATCATCTACAGTAATTGGAAGTTCTTTGTTCTCTAATATAGCCTCGGTGAATTCGCTTAGTTCATTCGCGAAAGCTTCTTTGAACCTGTCATAGTAGGTTTTATGAGATTTTACATTCAAACCTGTTTGATTGAATAACCTTAATCTATTTTGTGCATCGTCCGAATTGATTACGAAGGAGCCTTCGCCTCCAATAATATTGAGAGAACAGCTATGACCATGTCTGGCGGTTCTAGATAAGTACAATGTTGCCATTTTTCCGCTTTCAAATTGGATATTACCAACAGCATTATCAGCATCTTGACTTTCTGCGAGATCGTGAATGAGTGCATTGTAACCTGTTGCTGTTACCTTTTTAACCTTTTCGTTGCCAATATACCATCTAATCAAGTCCGCATCATGTACACCACAGTCTACTAAGATCGATCCATTAGCTTTTGAGAACTCTTTGAAGAATTTGGCTGCTTCAGGGTCATACATGTCGTTTGTAGCGCCATGAACGTAATAAACGTCGCCTAGTTCACCATCCTTAATCCTGTTATATGCTTCTCTGTATGATTCATCGAAGCGTCTAACAAACGCGACCATAACTTTCAATTCCTTATGCTTATTGGCAGCGTCAACGACAGACTTTGAGTCTTCTAAATCAACGCTAATCGGTTTTTCGACCAAAAGATGCTTTCCAGCCTCTATAACTTTTAATGATAAACGTGCATGCTGAGACGTATCTGTAGAAACTAAAATGGCTTGTACTTCTGGATGATTGATTACTTCGTCCTCGTTGTTATGAAATCTGAGACAACATTAGATATTGCAGTTATAAATCCTCAGACTCACTCAACGCTGGCAGGTAAAACTTCTCTTGCTGAATCTAGTGTTCCTTTACTCCTGGCTGCTACCGCCAATAGGTTTGCTCGTGGTTCTTTGACAACATTGAGAGCATGTCTAATACCCATTCTACCTAATCCTAGTACACCAAAGTTAAGTTGTTGTGGCATTTCTTATATTTTTACGTTATTGCACTTCAAAAAGCTACTATATTTCTTTTAAATAATATAATCTCCGATAGTCGGATGTCAAGCAGCTGACAACTTTAGCGGGTGCAGCTGAGATATTCAGTACAGCTGCTTGTGGACATTACAGCTGCTTTTATAATCAAATTGCGCACTATTTCTATCATACTTCCATCTTCTCATTAACTGATATAATGTGTTCCACTACATCATAGAGAAGCTGTATTAGATTATTTGGTTTGATTTCCCTTCTTAAGTTATATAAGCCCAAATCAGTACCGTTTGGTGAGGTTATCGGAAAAACATTGTACATATATTGATAAACTCTATACTTTTGAGTAATATAAAAAGAGCGTGGAAAGAAATATACGTCCTGTACCTTCACCTTCTAATATTTAATTTGGAGACTTAATAAGTGTTTTAGATTTGTAGAGTTCATGTTATTATTTTCTGTTCCTTAATCACAACCTTATCCGACAATAAAAAGCTGAATCAATTAAAATAATAGATGATGATTATTAAAAATCCTACCCTTTCAGTGTTTTCCATTTCAAACTAATATCATTCAATTTTGCAAAAATTAATAAAGCACTCTCTATATAAGCTCAAGCGTCGCTTACGTGTGACCGCCTGCACGCGCTAACACCCCTAGGAACGATCAGGGTACATTGAGAGGCCAATAGTATAAAAAAAAAGTGTTATACTTCATCAAATATTGTTCACTAACATAGTCGCGTAATTTGTATTTATGTACCATACTTAACAATATTTAACTCCCAACCTCCGAGATGGAATTTATGCGCAGCAAAAGGACATGTGGGGAACATTAATAGGTCTATTTAACTTCCAGGCTAGTTGTATTGTGTCGCATCTATATAGTCTTCTGTACCTTTGAAAATCACGTAAGAAAGATTCCGTGAGTGTTTCACGTTCATCCTTTCTTAATTACAATCAACTCTTGTTCAGAGGAAAAACTATATAAAATACCGGCTTGACAAATATCTCATTTATCCGTTTTAATATGAGATTTATATTCCTATCTACCCTTATCACAGCATCGTTACCTTTCGCTAGAAGCGATTTTGGTTTCGAAGTTAGGAATAACATAGAATGTGGAAGATTGGAGGTGCGTTACTCTGGTGCAAACGGCTCACCTGACATCCTAGTTGTATGTCTCATCTTCCATAAAATAGCTCATATACTGATAAAACATCAGCTCCCTATCGACGGCGACGTCGCGAAAGCACCAATGATTGGTGAGCCTACGAACATGAGTCCAGGATCAGGTGTTTATGTGAATAACGAGTTCCGTATGCCTGCTGGAGTGCACTTTACTGTGAGTTTGTTATCTTAGGATCACAATATACTAAATTATTTGCAGGTTACTATGGGCGATGATGATGGAATGGGTACCGGTGGTACATCTGAAATACTTAGGGTGCAGGATAACGGGAATGGGCAGGGCTGCTTTCGAAAAAATCAAGTGACGACATATTACGAAATTGCTAGCAATTCATCAAATTGGAATAGCTGTGATACACTTTCTCTAAATGTTATCGATAAATCTAAAACTAAAGCAACGGATTTGATAGATTACTATGCTATATCACCAAACTCGCGCCCCATCCACATACAATCAGCCCATATTAATGATACGGTTGAGTATCAACTCACTCAACCTGAACAAAGTCAAGTTATGATTTTCTCCCTTTACCATGGTACCAATTTAGCTATGGATCTGGGAGGACATACAAATATGTATCGTATTGGCGAGGGTTCAACTGAATGCAATAAACCATTAGAGGCCTCGCCAACTGCGGCGCAAAACAACAGCAGTGGTAGTACGAATTCAGGTGGTATATCAAGAGGTGCTATTGCTGGTGCTGTCGTTGGTGCCGTTGTAGGAGGCGCTGCACTGGCAGCCCTAGTGTTCTTCTTACTCGTCAAGTATAAAAAACACTCGAATGCAAGAATTGAATATGCTCGAAAGCTAGAAAGCGACATAGAACATAGAGATCCTAATGAGGATATCGATGATATGGGAGAAGTAGTTCCATTTACCCAAGATAACTCTCACCAAAACACTTCAAACCAAGGCAGCTCTACATACTCACCCGTATCTCTTACGAATGCCAGTACTCATTCGCCTTATACACCTATTCATCCATCACCCCAATCTGCTCCTCTGAATAGAGTACCAAAATTACATCGAGATGCAGGACCTGCTGTTCGGAATGGTGAGGAAGAAATGGAAGCTGATGTTCCTCCAACTTACGAGGATGCATCGCGTAATGAGAGTCACAACCGTGAGGAGTACGGAAGTGTGTGACATTTATCAGGAATTATTTTGATTTTACAATACCTTTTTCATAATTTTTGTTCTATGCATTTTGTAATACTTTGATGGATTGTTTCATTATTTGATGTTTCGTTTCACTATATTAAATACTCAATTCAATCTATTATCAACGTAAATAAAAACGAAGTTCCAGAAATACTTCAATGATGCGCAATACTAGAAGTTATGGGGCATACATGGTTCATACATATGTTATATCTGTAAGCTAGTGTCTCCAGGAACGCACAGTCAGGGTAGTACAAGTGTGCATGTTAGTCTTCAATCTTCAAAAAATAACGCTTTTTAGATTATATTTATATTTAAATGCGCTATTATTATACGTGTCATTTATGTAATGAACTAAGGTTTCACCATTTTTCCGCCCGAGATGGATTTTTTAGAGCGCAGCAAAAGAGAATAGAGAAACTCAATGGGTTGATCATTGCTTATTACTATTTAATAACACTTATCGTTACTTAGCAAAACCCTATGTGTTTTCGTATTTTGCAAGGATTGTTATAAAAAGTTCCGCTACTAATGACTTTCTTCACAATCTACGATCACTACTTGAATTCGAAGGAAGCACCGCTTCTAATACCTCCTCAAACAATATACCAATTACAACACAGCATATTATGAGATTTAAACTACTATCTACATTTATCACAGCTTTGTTACCTCTCGTTAGAAGTGATTTTTCGTTTGAAGTAAAGAATTATGTAGCATGTGGTATGCTGGAGGTAGAATATTCCGGTGCAAATGGTTCACCCAATATACTAATTGTAGGTATATACTACCATAGTCACTTTCCTAATCTGATAATCAGCTCCCCACCGGTGGTGATACTCAGAATATTACAATGTTGGGCTACCCAACGAATGGTAATAAGGGAGAAGATACTTACATATTACCAGAATTCAAAATGCCGACTGGTCAAGAATTTACAGTGCGTTGTTTCACATTTCAAATACGCGATGCTAACCTGCCTTAGGTTACTATGGGTGACAAGGATGGATTTGGAACTGGTGGTACATCTGAAAAGCTTAAAGCTCAAGACTATAATCATGGAAATGGTTGCATACCCACAGACGGAGGAATGACAAAATACGCAATTATCAGTAATTCCTCGCAGTGGAACAGTTGCGATACGATCAATATTCGTGTATATGATATGCATAATCTAAAAGACACGGATTTGATAGATTATTATGCTATAACGCCAAACACGCGTCCTATTCACATCCAATCCACGTATGGTAAAGATAATGGTACAATTAACTATCAACTCACACAAGGAGAACAGAACCAAGTTCAAGTTTTTTCACTTTACCGAGGTGATAACATCCAATATGATTTAGGCGGTCGCACTGATTTGCACACTCTTGGACCAGGCTCAGATGATTGTAAAAAGCCATTAGAGCCTTCACCCACCGCTTCGTCACAAACCATCCGTCAAAGTGATGATAGTGGTGCTATATCAAAAGGTGCTATTGCTGGAACTGTCATTGGTGCGGTGATAGGAAGTGCTGCGCTGGTAGCCGCCTCGATGTTTTTCTTTGTCAAGTACAAAAGGCACGCTCATCTGAGACTTGAATATGCAAAAAAATTGGAAAGTGATCTTGGACACAGATCACCTGGTGAAGATCTTGATGATATGGGACCAGTAACTCCGTTTACCTTAAACAATCCACAACAGAGTGCCTCAAACCAAGATAACTCAACACGTTCACCCGCGTCTATGACCAATGACAGTACTCATACTCCGCTTAATTCATCTAATCAACAATCACTTCAATCTGGTCCTTCGGATAAGGGCCCTAAATACCATCGGGATGGTGGACCTGTCGTACAGAATGATGGGATTGGGACAGAAACTGATGATACCGATGTTCCCCCAACTTATGAAGATGCGTCAAGAATTGATAGCCCATTTCGTAATCAGCTCGATACTAGTTGAGAATTCAAGGATTAAAATATTTCATTGATTTTTACTACTTTCTATTGTTCTAATGCATTTTGTAAATATTTGATATAATTTTAGCAAACTGTTGGTATCGTTTCTGCGAAATTCAATGTTTGATATTCTGCTCTTAACAAGAGACCTTTAAACAGCAGTAATGTATATCTAAAAAATTCTTTCTACAAGATCATTATAATGTACATGATGTAAAAGTATTGTTCGTATGTGAGATAATATATTTATCTACACTTTATTATAGTCTCAGTAGTGTTCCTTCTATCATTCATTAAATTTAGAAAACTTCCTTTGCTGCAAGTAATTGCAAGACAAATGAAGCAGATTCTGGGCTACTAACACCCTTGGCTGACCAATCGAGTGCATTTACTGTTGGTTCAATGTTACCCATAACAGTGACTCGAGCAAGTGCAGCATCGAATGCCTTCTCCATTTGGGGGAGCACATCTTCAATGGCTTCATAAGCAATTGCACCTAATCTGTAAGCAGCTGCTGTGATCGCTGCTGTACCTGCAACTTCTTCGAACTCTGATGGCTTGTCAAGGTAGTTTGGAAGTAATCCACTATCTTTTTGAACTTTGTATGCATTGTGAATCAACTCAGAGAGCCATTTAATCAAGTGATGGACTTCTTCATCTAATCCTTCACAATCTGAGTGCTTGATTGTTGCCAAAACTCTTGAAATACCACCTGCAATCCATCCGTTACCTGTTGACCAAGCACCTTCGTCTTCCCATTCTGTCTTTGTGCCATTAACATCAAGAATGTGACCATAGACACCATATTCTTTCAATAAGAGCGCTTCTCTGTAAAGTTTGATTTGTTTGTAAGCTTCACGAAGAAGTTCTTTGTCATTATTGAGAGCACCAGCGTAGGCAATGAGTGGTGGCGTCATATAAACTGAATCGGACTGAGAATTTTATTAGTTAAACAATGATTAAGAAAATCGTACGAACCCAGTAAGCAATCTTCTCAGTTCTGTGGGAGATTGCACCACTTTCTGAACGTGGCGCTGTATTCAATGTGTAGTTGAGTTGTTTTGCTGCTGCTTTGGCAAGGTTTTCTCTTTCATTAATTTCTGGCCAGATCTTTGACGCTAGGTATACAGCAGGACCTATTCTCCTTTAGAAAAGGAATTTAAAACGCTGTCATAACACTCACCCATTGAAGATGGATCGCTCGCTGAGCCATCAACATCACCACCCATTCTGACACCTAAACGGCCATCATCATTTTGTCTAACAACTGAGTCCCAAGCAATTGAAAGTGTATGTACAGGAATATCTTCGCCACTGAAGTCGAAGTCTTTATCTCCAGCCCACTTGAGAAGTTCACCTGTACCGTTAATTTCATTGAGAAAGTTTGGGTTGAAGACACTCAATCTGTCATGATTAAACTCTAACAAAGCTTCAGCAGCTGTGCCTTGTTCCCAACTGACAATGGTCAATTATGATAATAATAAAAATAAGTAAGACATACCTTGCGCGCTGTGTGGATAATAAAGCATCACGTACTCTAGCACCGATTGTATCATGCTCCCAACTATATTCATGATCGGACACATATTCTCTTTTCATGTTTAATGGTGTTGCTATTGTAGTTGCAGCGAGACATGCGCAAACTAAAACGTTGGATAACATATTGAATGTTTTTTGTCCTGAGTTGTTTTAGTTGAAGAGATTATTCACTGTTTACATACCGAATAAAATAGTTCCGGAATGCAGCGCACTTAGGCTTTCCTTTTACGGCAGTGCTTTCCCATGACGCGAAGACACCGCGTTATACAAAGAAATACACGCGTTTCACTAAATTAAATGTAATAAATATATCTATAATTTACTCCTCTCCTTTCAAGGGAGTATTTTTTGTGATGCCTCTCATATGCCATGTCGCACGGACATGAATTATACGATGATTGAAAATCATATTAATTCCGATCCGATGTTTTGCGTCGCTTAACAGCTTTCACTGAGTGAGCCAATGGATCATCAAAACTTTACATGCGTTAGAGGAAAACGCCAAGAAACATAATTTACTTACACTCTCAAAGTGTGTAGAAGGTATCCACCTGTTGCAGACATCTGCATATTTGGATGCGTTCTTCCGGGTAATACCTACACCGATGTTAAATTAAACATACTATGCAGTGTTTTAATTTCCCCACCTGGTACTGCCTCAACCAACTTTCTGACACAACGGGCGACAAAAAGTTTCTACTATTACGTAGTTTCATATGTGCCTCTGTGAGAACCTACATAGCATTCATTAATGTATGATATGACGTTATACCAAAATGCTCACAGCCAAGTGTGGATGATGAAGTACCACAGGTGCTGAACCGCTCAGACGACTGTGTAGCTTGTCTACTATACCATAGGGCTCGTATTGTGATGCACATATCAATCTTAAAACGTGTGAGTTTGTTAGTCATGTCAGTAATAACAAACCAACCCGTCAAAGTCGCCATCAAAAAAATCCTTACGAAGGTTTTCAAGGGCTGTTAATTGCTCTTTACGCTTTAAAATCTTGTCGCGTTCATGATGAGATTTCCAATTTTCACCACCTTCTTTAGCCTCTAATTTGAGGGGTGCTAGAGGCATTTAGTGAAGTAATGTTACAAATAAGAATACCGACGATTTACGAAATCCTCTTCTATTGTCACCCAATTTAAATGCCTTACAGACTGTCTTATGCTCTCTTCCGGCAAGTTCATGGACTCCAATATGTCGAGATTTGGTGGTGAATCAGCATCGTGTATCAGCAAAACACTTCCTTCACCTATGGGGTGTTAGCTAAGTAGATTACTTTTACACTTCCACACACCTCCAAGTCTCTCCAAAATAGCAGCAGTAAGCAAACCAGATGTCTCTTCAACAACTAAATATCTGCCACCTTGTTGAATGTTTCCAAGTGTAAGCATTTGTGACAATGTGTCTACCCTCAAATCACGTATCCTGCTTGGATTTTTGTTGAAATGATATTCGCAAACGTTGAATGTAGTAGGTGCGATAGGCGTGATAAACTTGAGGAATCTATAGAATGTTAAATGGTCGACACCATCATTGCTTTCCAACTACCCACTTTGCTTCCTTCTTTTTGAGGTATTTCTCCTTACTATAGGCTGTCTTCAAATCGAATTGACCGTGAGCTGCGATCTGTTGCTCAATAATTTGCTTCTATATGTTAATAAGGATCACAGCATTGTCCTCTAACTCACGCGTCCTTCAACGCCACCCTTCTTGAGTGCATCGATCTCAGCTTCCCCTAGTAAAGTGATAGCCGTTGTATCATCTTCGATGAATTGATTTGTAGCTTCGAAATCCTCTAAATAAACTATTAAAGTGAGTTCTATTGTGTGTGCAAACCCTCACCAATATCGTCTACCGCTTTATGTGACATTCTCTTCAATGTAGACTTGCCATCCTTCTCTATAATTTCATAGCTCAAGCCGTATGGCTTTCCTACGAGTTCAGAGAATGCAACTTTACCAAATTTACCAAAGTTGGCTGTACTATTGTAGGCTTAGATTTGCTATCAACGTTTCAAGAATCCTACGAACCCATTCTTTGATAATTTAATAACCTTTTCTTGTAAAGAGGGTAATCTAATAAGTACAGAATCGCCTTCACTTATAAAATCACAACGTATATCATACTTCCTTTCAATATCCTCCTTAGTCGCCATGATTGAACAAGTTAGACAAGTTAAACCGTTGAAGGGAAATGCATTTTATACCTTTACAAAATAATTTCAAGCAGCGTTGAGCTGACTATACATACTGATAAGAGAAAAATGATAAATCTAGAAAAGACCGACGACGCGTGGTTTATCTTCTGACAAATCTAAATCGATGTCATAGTATCCAGGACGTGTAGATAAACCAGGCATAGTTTGCATTTCACCACAAAGTGCGTAAACAAATCCTGCACCTGCGCTTAACTTAATTGAACGAACTGGTACAGTGAATCCTGTTGGTACACCCTTCAATTTTGGATCATGTGATAAAGATAAGTGTGACTTGGCCATACAAACTGGCAAGTTACCGTATCCTTGTTTTTTGTATGTTTCAACTTGTGATTTAGCGAGGTCACTCAATTCGATTGCATCACCACCGTACATTTCTTTGACAATTGTGAGGATCTTGTCTTCCATAGACAAGTCATCGTTGTAGAGTAACTTAAAGTCATCGTTGCTTGCGGCTGGTAAAACTTCACCATTTTCATTCTTCGGTTCACAAGTGTCGATAAGTGATTGAGCAAGGTCAATAGCACCTTCACCACCCAGTGCCCAGTGATTTGATGCAACAGCTGCATGTGCACCGGCTTCAAGTGACAATTTCTGAACTAATTCAAGTTCAGCTGGAGTGTCAGTTGAGAATTGGTTAACTGCAACAATAACCTTGACACCATATTTACGACCATTTTCAATGTGCTTAGCAAGGTTCTTGCAACCCTCTGCGAGAGTTTCGAGGTTCTCTTGAGTGTAGATATCATCAAGAGGCTTGCCTGGTGAGACTTCCGGTCCACCACCGTGCATCTTGAGTGCTCTGACGGTTGCAACGAGAACGACTGCATCTGGAACCAAACCTGAAACACGACATTTGATGTTGAAGAACTTCTCCATACCAATGTCAGCACCGAAACCAGCTTCAGTGATAACGTAACCACCAGCGGAGGATGGTTCACCTGGAAGTGTGTTAGAAAGAAATCATGTTGTAAGATGTGGTCACGCACCCTCTTCAGTACCAGCCAACTTCAATGCAACACGGTCGGCAAGGATAGATGAGTTACCGTGAGCAATGTTGGCAAATGGACCAGCGTGAACAAAGACTGGAGTACCTTTGGTGTTTTGTCAACAATGGAAATCTCTAAAATCTATGCACAAACCTTCAAGAGTTTGCATAAGGTTTGGCTTGATGGTGTCCTTCATCAAGACGGTGAGAGCACCACCAATACCAATGTCATCAGCAGTGATAGTTTCACCTGACTTAGATGATGCAACGACCATATCACCTAATCTTCTACGCATGTCTGGAAGGTCATTTGCGAGAGCAAGAACAGCCATACACTCAGAAGCGACAGAAATGTCAAATCCAGTCTCTCTTGAAATACCCTTTTCAGTTGGAGCTTGACCAACAGTAATCTTACGGAGATATCTGTCGTTGGTGTCTGTAACTCTGTGCCAGGTGATAGTCTCTGGGTCGATGTCAAGCTTGGCAAACTTAGCTGCCTCCTCTTCAGTGAGATCCTTTGGATCAGTCTTGTTGATGCCTAACTTTTGTAATCTCTTAATCATAACTGGTGAGAATGTTCTAACACCTTTCTTAGCTGGTGTAAGACGGTTGAAAAGAGCCTTTGGAGTTTGAGTTGATTCGTGGAACATTCTAGCGTCAATAGCAGCAGCAAGGAGGTTGTTAGCAGCTGAGATAGCGTGGATATCACCAGTCAAGTGTAAGTTGAATTCATCCATAGGAATGATTTGTGAGTAACCACCACCAGCAGCACCGCCCTTGATACCAAATGTTGGACCTTGGGAAGGTTGACGAACACAAGCAAAGGTGGATCTACCAAGTCTAGCACCGAGTGCTTGAGCGAGACCAACGGTTGTAGTTGATTTACCTTCACCGAGTGGAGTAGGTGTGATACCAGCAACGACGACGTATTTACCATCCTTACGATGTTGCAAACGGTCAAGAATGCTGAGTTCAACCTTTGCCTTTGATTGTCCGTAGAGTTCCAATTCTTCCTCAAGAACACCAATTTCCTTAGCCAAAGTTGAGACAGGCTTTGGAGTTTGTGCCATGGCGATTTCAATGTCAGATGGGACCTTCTCGAGTGGTTGGATTGGGAGTGGGGTGACAACACCTCTTCCTCTACCACCTCTGAGCTTAGCTTGACGCTCAGCAGCTCTGAAAGTGTTAACCATAAGCATAGCGACGGTCATTGGACCAACACCACCTGGGACTGGGGTGATGTGTGAGGCATTCTCAATAGCTTTACTGTATTCAACATCACCAAGCATACGTTGGCCAGACTTCTTTGTTGCATCTGGAACAAAATTTGCACCAACGTCGATGACGACTGCGCCTGGTTTAATCCAGTCACCTTTAACGAACTCTGGCTGACCAATAGCGGCAACGACGATATCAGCTTGCTTGACGAGTTCAGGGATGTTCTTTGTCTTTGAGTGGACTTGTACGACGGTTGCATCCTTACGACGGAGGAGGTTCATCGCAGGTGTACCGACAATATCAGAGCGACCGAGTACGACAGCGAATTTACCAGCGATTTCAACGCCGCTCTCTTCGAGAAGTTTGATAACACCGGCTGGAGTGCATGGTGCGAATAATGGGTCAGAAAGACGTGAGGAGAGTGCACCTGCGGTGAGTGGGTGGAAACCATCGACGTCCTTATCGTGTGAGATAGTCTCTACAACCTTTCTCTCACCATCTTTACCGCCGTTTGCGAGAGGAAGTTGAACGAGAAGACCGTGAACACCGTCGTCTTGGTTGCAACGGCGTACGTGGTCTAAAACAACGTCTACACTCTCAGTCTCTGGGATTTTTATGTGGGTGAACTTGAAACCAGCTTCTTCAGCTGCTAATCTCTTCATTCTGATATAGCTGTTGGAATCTGGTCTAGCGCCATGTTGTATGATAACCAAATGTGGTTGGAATGGGAGAGTTTTTGTTTGTGTTGCGAGATCTCCGCGGAGTTTCCTTTTATCTCCCGTCAATACATGCCGTCCCTGTCAATCAGAATGTTTTACTCACTTTGCGATCGCAGTACCGTCAATCTTCTGTCCTACCATTGTGCGTAAAGTCGTATGTAATGTTCTATATCCAAGTAAGGGTGCTCTGCCTGATAATACTCTTTTGAGATTTCTGGCAGCGTATAGCATCTAAAAGAGAAGCATTTCGGCGTTGATGCGACTCGACTGAACTGCCAGGATCAGAAATAAAAATGGATTTAAATCTAGCGACAGTAAGTTTTTACTTATTTAAACATTTTATCTCTTATTTTATCAGGCAGGTAGCATTGCTGCTTTCTCCGTGGATATGCTCGTCTGTTGGTATTTCCTTTTGCTTGATGACGTACTTTGACTCAAAACAGATCCCCTGGATACCATAAAAACGAGGTACCAGAGCGCACCTAAGGGTATTAGTCTACTCTCTATATCATACAGAAATCTCTACGCTGGCGTTGGACCAGTCGTTGCAGCTACTCTACCTTCGGCGGCTGTCTTCTTCACAACGTATGAGCAATTAGGAGGCTTACTACGAAAATCTACTTCTTTCTCTGCCCCTATTACTCAAATAATCGCTAGTAACATTGCCGAATGTGCAAGTTGTGCTGTATTAGCACCGGCTGAGCTAATCAAGCAGAATGCTCAGGTGGAGAATAAGGAAAACACAGCAACCCTTACAAGAAGGCTGTTTAGAAGGGAGAACATACGGACACTTCTGGCTGGTTATCGTGCACTTGTTTTCCGTAACCTGCCGTTTACTACCGTACAATGGCCAATTTATGAGCATTTCAAGAAGCTATTCAGAAGTAAAGACTTCTCTAGGGGTCAAGCGGCTGGCATGGCCGCTATGATTGCTGGTACAGCTGCTAGTACAGCCACCACCCCTGTGGATGTCGTAAAAACACGCATCATGATTCAAAACCAGAAAAGTGGAGGTGTTTGGAGTACTACCAAGGATGTAATATCCAGTGATGGTGTTAAAGGTTTATTTAGAGGTGGTCTACTTCGTTCTAGTTGGGCTGCACTCGGTGCTGGCGTCTATTTGGGTTCATTTGAGAAGGCAAAAGAGAGCCTTGGCAAGGACTAATAAACTATGAAAATATAACGATCTGTATTATATGCATGCTCTATATATAGCTCTGTATATCATTCTATACTTACATTGCGACTTCATCCGCATTGTCTAACTCTTTGTGGACTGTCAAATGAGCGTCATCAGACCAACTGAGAAGGTATCCTTGGTTGTTACTGTTCATAATTGCTTTGGTGACGGATGTGTTTGATAAGCTCGAAGGTTTAACGCCCTCTGCAAGCTTGAATTGCATCTTGTTAAGTAAAACCTGCCTAAGGAAAACAGAGAGGAGTGCACCATGGCTAACAACCGCTATAGCCTTATCTCCAGGTAATTGAGACAACGGTTTGATAATTTCATCGTAAAAGTCTAAACAACGAGTGTACATCTCGTCTAAACTTTCGACACCCTCTAGATGACCGTGCCTTTCTTCTCTCGAGAGTGTATGTCCTTGATACTTTCCGAATGATCTCTCGCGTAGGCGTGCATCCTTGACTAACTTCGTAGATGTATGATGGGAGGCTAAGATGGTTGCTGTCTCGTATGTCCTGCTCAGATCACTGGTGTATAATATATCAAATTTTGCACCCCTAAATCTATTAGCTAGGAGCGTAGATTGAAGTCTTCCATTATCGTTGAGTGGTATATCTAGCTGACCTTGTACTCTCCCTGTGATATTATACTCTGTTTCTCCGTGCCTAATGAACTCAATTGTGAGCATTTTTTGTTTAAGCTTGCTAGTAGCTTCCTCGATTGTTGGTTGATTGATCGATTGAGAGAATAACTTAGAGTTCTAAGAATAATAAATATGTCAACTACAAACCTTGCTAATCCTATAACGTCTGCTACACTCACTATCAGATTAATAAAGAGTTTCGAGTTCAGAACGACAAAGAATCTGATATTGAAGGGAATAGATCTCACTAATACGACAGTAGAAGATTTAGTAAATATTTGTAAACAAGAGATTACTACTCAATCACGTTTCAAGCCGTTCAGAACTGTTGATCTCAATTGTATTAAGTTATACACACAAGCACACGGACATAAAACAACTAATTTAATTATTAATGTAGATAATCACCATTGGATTATTGATAATTGGTCACAGAAGTTATCTGATATCGAGATTGATGGTCAGCATATCGGTGAGTGTTTATCGAGATACTAGAGATGCACCTTTCTAACAAAGAGATATAAGAAAACGAGACTGAGCTTAGTTTATTCAATAGAGATCTCTACGATCAGTTCATCCAAAATCCAGAAATCAAATGGGAGTAATCTGGCTATTTACTACATTTTACATACATGAACGAAGTAGACTATACTGTACATTATATATATTACATAAATTATTATCAACATGTGATTTCAGAGGTACGCGTATTGATCTTCTCGCGACAATCATCATCTACCAGTAGAAATGGCCAGACGCACCTTGAAAAGGCGGGCGCCATCAACTGATGAAGATGACAGCCCTCCAACTAATAAAACTACACGTCAGGTATCTGATGACGAAGACATTGGTACAACCTCACTATCACAGAGGGATGAAGGCACAAATGACGACGACAACGAGCTAGCTGAGAACGACGAGGATGAAAGCGACGATGCTGATGTTAAACCAACTATTATGGATCAGGAATACGTCGCAGAGGCACTCCAGCCTCAAGAACGTCAAAGAGATGCTGACAATTTCATACCTGGTTCTATCACTAGAGTCGTATTGCACAATTTCTTAACATACGACCATGTTGATTTCTGTCCAGGTCCATATCTCAATATGATTATAGGTCCAAATGGTACGGGTAAATCTACCATAGTTTGCGGTATAGCATTAGGTTTAGGTGCAGGACCAAAAGTGGGGAATTATACTTCTACCTAAGTCTGTTCTAACAACCCCTAGATTCTTGGTAGATCAAGTGATGTTAATGCATTTGTCAAACAAGACAAAACGCAAGGTTACATTGAAATCCATCTTAAAGCAAAAAATCGTCATCACAATCACGTTATTAAGAGAAGTATAAATTCAACAGATAAGCAGTCAAAATATGAAGTAGATGGTGAACCTTCAAGGCTTGAAGTAATCAAAGAAATCGTCAGTAGTTATGGTATACAGATTGGGAATCTCTGCTCATTCTTACCACAAGATAAAGTATCACAATTCGCTCAGATGTCTCCTTCAACTCTATTACTTGAAACACAGAAAGTCGCAGAAGGTACAGGTATTGGAAACCTTACAGAATGGCATAAAAAGCTCATAGAAAGTGGAAAAACTCTCAATGAAGCAGAGAATGATCTTAATAGTATGATCAAAGACCGTAATGATCTTGAAGAGATGAATAAATCTCAAGAACGTGAGATTGAACGTTACAGAGCACGAAAATCTATAGAGAAGAAGGTGGGCATACTTTTTGTAGATTATACCATACTTACGTTTTTTCAGATTGATCTTCTGAATCTTATGATACCATTTTCTCGCTACTCACAATCAAAGACACAATATGACCAAGCTAAGGCAAATCGCAAACGCCTTAATGAGAATGTAATCAAAATTGAGAGAGAAAATCTTCCATTAAAGCAGAAGATATCTGATTTTGAAAAGCTCATCAAAGAATCGGAAGATAAACGCAAAGATAACGAAGAAGATATCCAAAGGAAGAGGCAAGAAATGAAAGAGGTTGGAAAGCAATTAGAGCAATTTGTAAAGCACACTGAAGATGCAACATCTAAAATTGAAGATGCAGAAAGAGCAGATCAAAGGCGACTTGAGAGTATAGACAGTGCTAAGCAAAATATAGCCGCATTGGAGAGTACAATTGCTGATCCACCAAATGAAGAAGGTCTTAGAGAGTTTGAAGATCAAATCCGTACTATCAGACAGTCAATTAGTGAACTACACGAGTTTGGAAAGAAATATCAGGACATCAGACGTGAAGTGGCTTCCGAGAAGCAAGAAATATATCATGAGCAATCAAGATATGAAAGGATTTTACTTTCAATGGATAACGTTAGGCAAAGACGATATGAGAAATTTAGAAGCTTCGATGAGACCACTGCTAGAACGGTTGAAATTATCAACAAGAATAAGGATAAATTTCAAGAAAAAGTATACGATCCAGCTTTCTTAGAAGTTAAAGTCAAAGATCAATCATACGCAGCAGCTATCGAATCTCTCATAAATTACAACGTTATGAAAACCATCTTATGTCAAAATCAAGAAGATTACGACATTGCAACTAAACAAATCATTGATAAATATAAGTTTAGAGTAAACATCGTTCAACCTGTGTTTAGCTCTAGAGATACAGAACCACTCATGACTAGAGAGGAAATCAGACAATTAGGATTTGATGGTTTTGCCATAGACTTTATTGATGCTCCAGAATTTATAATCAATTATCTCAAAAAGAGTTGCTTTTTACACAAGATACCAGTTGCAAAAACAGCAGACCAAGTAAACTTGAAAGCTATTGAAGAGTCTAGTGCATTCAAAAAAAGAGAGTTGAGGAGATACCTCATTGGAACCGAATCACACAGTTACAACTGGTCGAGGTATGGTAAACAAGCAGCATCTACTACTACAACCTTTGTGAGACCATCAAGGGTGTTCAACGATACAAATGCAGATATTGAAGAGAGACAGGAACTTGAGGCTCGTATTGAGGAGTATAAAAGGAGAGCTAGTGAGCAAGATCAGAAGATTGAAGAGCTAATTCCAAAGGAAAAGGATTTACATGTTCAAGAGAGAACCTACAAAGGAGAAATCCAGAGACTCGACGAGCAGAAATCTGAAATACAGAGAAAACGTCAAGAATACTTTAAAGCTCAAGCTACATTACATAGTACCAAAAAGAATCTCCAGAAATTGGAAAATATGCCAAGTTCAGCTGCTGAAAAGCAGAAATATAAAACATTGATATGCAAAATAACAAAACAAAGAATTGATGAGGTAGAAACTTACACGGAGTTAGTCAAGGAACTAACTCAGCTAATCGAGAAATCCGAGTTATTAGTACTTGAAGAAGTACAATATGATGCGAACAGACGTAGCCTCAATGGTTACTTGAATGGATATAACATAACTCTCAGTGAAGCATCTAGGGAATTGAGTCAGGCTGATGAACACTATAAGAGTGTCAAAGCAGAATCAACTAGGTACCTCAAGATAGCTCAGAATGAATTAGCACAAGCTAGCGAAGAATTACGCAATGACTTTGTGAAATTTAGAGAAAGAGTAAGTCAAACTGGAGATGAGCAGAGTCTTGAAGAGTTGGAAGATGCTTTAGCAGTTGAAAAGACTAATCTTGAGATGAACTCCAACGTTTCTGCAAGTATTATTGAGATGTTTGAACACCGTAAGAAGGTCATCGAGGAACAAACGCAGAAAATCAAAAAGAAACAAATACAATTTGATAATCTAAAAGCATCAATTGATCGTATAAGGGTGAGTTTTTTTTTTTTAATAAGGCCATCATCTAACACACATAACAGTCTAAATGGGAACCAACCCTTCTCAAACTCATAATGGCAGTTAGTGAGAGATTTAGTAAGGCTTTCGAGAGATTCGGTTGTGCAGGGGAAGTAAAGCTATTCAGACATGCAACAGATTATGCTCAATGGGCTATCGAAATTTACGTTAAATTTCGTGAAACTGAGAACCTCGAATTACTTACTCACCAAAGACAAAGTGGAGGAGAGAGATCACTTTCAACTATTCTATATTTGATGTCACTTACTGAATTATCAAAATCACCATTCAGTCTTGTTGATGAGATAAATCAGGGTATGGATAGTAGAGCTGAAAGACTAGTACATAATCAAATGGTTCAAGTAACTTGTCGAGATTATTCAAGTCAATATTTCTTAATTACGCCAAAGTTACTTCCAAATCTCACTTATCATCCAAAAATGAAGGTACTTTGCGTTAATAACGGGGAATGGCTGGATGAAAAGAGAGGAAATCTAAAGTTACTCTTAAAGGAACACAAAGACGCTAATGCGGGGATTGCAAATGGCACACAAACACTTCAAGCAGCAGTTTGAATAGGCTGAAGTGCAGCTGCATGAAAGAATTGTACATTATTGTTTTAAATTATTAGTTTTGCTATTGCATCATAACGTTCTCGTGCTATCTTGATAGCCCTCTGGGTTAGATCGAGTGAATCATCTAAGTTATCGGCCATATTTCTACCTTGACTAGACATATGAGCTAGAGTGCCATCTTCATTTATTACGACAGTCAATCGAGAGTGTGCTAACGATTGCTCAAAGTCATTCAAATCTGTGACTAATTTGCCATCGAATAAACCGAACGATGTCGGTATTATCGTTTTAGTTAATGGGACTGATGTACTTTCTTCTGGATTGGCTAACACCCGATCATTATCGAAGTCGTATCTTGTGACAGGTAGACGGGTATTTCTAAGTGCGGCTACTATTGCTATCAAGGCAGCGTCGAAAGCATTGCCATCAAAGTTTATGCAAACAACGTCAATATAAACCACCCAGACAGCTTTCCCTTGCTCAATAGTCAGATCTTTCTGATTCAAAACACCTGAAGAGAGAAGAACATCATTTATCCTACTACTCAAGACTTGTGCTTCTTCTGAAGGTGGACCTGGCTTGTATTTACTATTGGATATCGGGTTTAAATCAATATTTGGTACTACATATCCAGCTTCACGATTAGGATCTGGTAGGGCAGTTTTGAGTTTAACACCTGCAATCATTGTTGTGTTTCCTAACCTCACGACAGCACTACCATTTGCAGTATCAATTGAACCTTCATTCTCTTAATAAAAGTCTCAAAAAATGCTATCACTTACCTTGGTTTATTGACGTACTTCTGAACTCATCTAGTCGTCTACCATCCATTCTCAAATCATTCTCTAAAAATCTATTCAAATATTCACGCGGTCTAAGGCGTCTATAAGTTGCAGCATCAATTTCTGTTTGTTCGAATGACATCGTTTGATTATAAGAAGTGAAGTACAAAAAATTCATATTTCTTATTTCTTCTTTTTAGCGTGTGTATTTTTGAATGGAAAGTTTGAGCGTTTCTTTGAGAAATCCTCACCAAATATCATCTGCGTCTATGTTAGCATTCTTCTTTCGTATTACGACATAGACAATAGACATACAATTGAAATTCCCCATACACTCAATGCAGCTGCTGGGATGCAGTGTACTTTTCCTACCAATCCAATGGTCTCACTGTCAGCGTAGAATGCTAATACGCTTGAGAATACAAGGGCTGTCGTTCTATTAGGTTCATCAGCTTAGTCCAGTTGTAAATGGGCTACCTACGCAAATGTGACACTAGGAAGTCTGTATGGCGATGGCTGACGTATTGGTGTGGAAGATAATGATCCAGTTAGTTGGAGCAATAGAAAGGCTGCTGCTAACAATGCAATACTAGATTGTATCGTCAAGAACCTCTCGAATCCGTTCAATTCAGTCTTTGGGAGTAGCTCTCCAGTACTGTGCTTCTCGTATGGTAACAACAACGTCGTTATAAGCCTTGGAAAGCCCAACAAACCTACTGCTGTAACTGTACTCCAGGTGGCTACAGAATAAGCGAAATAATCTACGCTACTAAGTTCAGCTACGTCTGACATTATTGTTCTTAACTAGTTTGGGAGTAAGAAGATATCCTTGACGTCATCTGATATACAAAAAGATCAAAATTTATAATTTATTGTCGTTATGTTCGTAAATATCCGATTACTTAGTTTATTAGAAGTATTTGACTTTGTATTGCTCTGCTATAATCGCAGATTTGCTACCAAACTTGCTTCCAGAGCAGTTAGAGTTGTACATCTCATTTTCATCTTCTGCCTGCTGAAGTTGCTTGTTTGAGCGTTTCTTACGTGGTATCTCAGGGTATACGCAATCTATACCACGTTTATGACAATGTATACAACTTGTCTGACCGTCGCATTTGATTTTGCGCTTCCTGCAGAACAAACAAGCTACCGCAAGTCGTGGCTTTTTATCCTTTTTGATATTTGCTTGCGGTGGCGTCCTCGGTTGTGCTTGGATGTTCCCATCGTATTCCCTACAGAGTAGGTATTCCGATGCGAGATTGTTATCGAAAAGCCCCACCGAGCTCTCCAATCGTGAAGAGTTAAACGGCGATGCTAGTAATGTAGAGAGTGGGTATCTATGTTTGATTAGACATTATTAGCTTAAATAGTCTATTTATATTTACAATTCTTGCATGTGCTTCGTGTATATGGTTGCACTATATTTTTCTTCTTGGTTGTAGCTACTTAAGGGTATGCGATCATATTAGTAGCTGACATTACTCAGTATGAGTAAGCACTTGCTTTAGAGTTTAAGTTCAAGGTACTACCTACTCGCCGTGGCGAATGTACATCTAAGATTCGAATGTAAAGACAAATAGTGAGACAATTATACAGGAAAAATCAATTTTAAAGTACCTAAACTGGCTTGTTTTTACGCTCAGACAACGTGACCTCTAAGCCCCCCATTTTCTCGATCAAGACTAACCCAGGAAAACTTTTAAGGGGTTCGATTATGCGTTTCATTAATTTACAAGCAAAATTGGGGTATTTAATATAACTTTATGTTGAACTACTTCTATTAGCTGACCCGTTTGTCAAGCTAGAACGTTCTTCATTATTATTTCCATCACTCTCATTTTCGTCTTCACTGTCACTTTCTGATGATGATTCTTCAAATGATTTGTCTATGAAGTAATTTAGAATATCTCGCTTATATTGTTAACAACTCACGGAACTCTGTCAAGCGTAATTTCCGGGCATCATTAGGATGCTCGCTTGCTATACCTGATCTCAACAGCATTAAGGCTATACTTCTGGTATGGCTTGTGGCGAGTATATATGGATCTGCTGGTGTTTCTAATGCTGCATTTTTAAGTTCCTAGGTTGTGTTCATTAAGTTCTCACTCTCACGTTACCACCTACATTTATCAATGAATGAAACTGATGACGACGTTCCGCCTCAGTCTGGTCTGCATTTTTCTCTGGTTTGAAGTATCTTCTTATGTCCTATTGTTTCTTCAGTGGATGGTTTTATGACATAATAATGCACACCTCGACAGCCTCATTATGGTCATCCTCATCCATATCATCATAGTAACCTTCAAGTATCCTGTTTATCTCCTTTCTTAGATCTTTATTGTCATTTTCTATATTCATTAGATTATCTGCCATATCTCTGAGATAAATGATCAGAAATAGCTCCTTTAAGTTGAGACTACCCACCTGAGGAGCTTTGCAGGTGATAAACCGCCTGCTTTGCTTATGACTTCATCAGCACGGGCTTTCACGCCAGCAGCCATATCACTAGATTCCTCTCGTAATTGTTTTTCTCTACGCAGTTCAGCTCTAGCTTGGTCCAGGTCAGCATCTAGCCTCGGAATGAGTTTCTTGTATTGTTCTATGTTGTCTAGCAATTCTCCTTCAAATCTGAGTTCAGTTTCTATGAAATTTTCTTCAGCATCGCTATCTTCCTCCTCGTAATCCGATTCATCGGCTGGAAAGAGTGAGGATAGTTTAATAGATGATAATAGACCCACAACTATCACTGTATAATGCTGACTGTTCCAGATCTTCCAGCAGTTTTATTCTATCGAACTGTATATACCGATAAGAGTGATATTCGAAATGTTAGATAATAGTCCTACGCGTTTTGCTTTAATAGTCTCGTCGTCATCGCCTTCTTCTACTTCAAGTGGTGGTATCTTTCTGTACTGATCATACAGCTCGGTTTCTAACTAAATAGACGTTAACGGTGTAATAGAATAGCAATATACGCGCCTGAAGCAATTCACTTTTACGTTCTTGTATCAATTTACGCGTTTGTTCTATAGCTGTACCAGCTTCGCTGTTATCCTGATCTCTCTGGCGTATTTCTTCTTGCTTTCTCGCATGCTCTACTTTACGTCTCTCTGCTAAGCGTGCTAGTTTACCAGCTAACTCTCTAGCTTTCGTTGGGTCTCTAGCAATTTCTGCTAATCTCGCTGTCGACATCTCGCCTATTGCGGTATCGACTTCGTTTCAGAGGCGATCAAGACGAGGGGTTGAGATAATACTAGCGAACTAGCATGTCATTTTATTTTCTCAATTAACGACAGTGATGTTTAGAACGCCTACTAGAAGATTTATTACAGCAGCCACACTATCTGGCCTATATTTACAGCAAAGATATACATATAATAACAATAGCAGCTTATCCGATAGAGATTTGCAAGATCTGCCTACTACACAACTTGTACGTAGCTGGGTCGTCTACCTCGCATGCTCATCTCCTACCCTTATCGACGCTGCACCTGATCTTATCAACTATGCGTCACATCTACCCGGTATCTGGCAAATCACAAAATTCGTAGTAAAGCGTACGTTCTTTGCGCAATTCACAGGCGGTGAATCTTCTCAAGAGTACACTAAGGTTATCGATGCTCTCAGACAGCACACACAAGGTGTTATATTAAATTACTCCGCGGAAGCCTCGGATATTAGTCCTTCACATTCACAGGATGCCATGTTAGCAGCTGCTGAGGATAGTTTGAGGATTATTTCTGAAGGTGTTCAAGCATGTGGCACCTACGAGAAACAGCTCCGAGACAACCACGATAAGAGAGCCGGTCAAACTTTCGTAGCTGTGAAACCATCCGGATTGATTCCTGATCCATACGTACTTGAAAGAGCAACGCTTGCACTTAACGAACTTCATGGATGGAATAACACTTTACCTGCTCAAATGCCCGTCGAATCAGTGTCAGATTCTGACATGCAGTTGATGTTAGGCAAAGCTAAACTTTCTAACATCTCAAAAGAAGATCTCAAACAATTAGCTGGTTTATATGATAGAATGAGAAATATTTGTGGATGCGCTTATGACAATGGTGTGAAAATTCTCATTGATGCAGAATACGCAAAGTTCCAACCAGCTATCGACGTAATGTTTACACTCTTAGCCGAAGAGTTCAATTATGATAGAAAAGGAAATGTCTCACAGACTGTCCAACCTGTTGTCTACAACACCATTCAATGTTCCTTAAGACGTTCAGAGGATTTCGTAAAGGCATCTATTAAACGTGCTCAAGAGAAAGGATACACCATTGGATTGAAAGTTGTACGTGGTGCCTATGTCGATCACGAAAACTCCCGATGGGCTAAGCTTAAGGGTGTTGGACCATCCCCAGTTTGGGGATCTAAGGAAGAGACTGACAGATGCTTCGATAATGTTGCTGAGCATCTAGTTGAGGAACTTGCCTCTGCTAACGGAAACACCCTTGGTGTTCTGTTCGCTTCTCATAACTGCAATAGCGCATTCAAAGTGTTGGACCTTCTTGAGAAACACAAACTTGCAAGTCGCACGTCTGACAACAAAGTTGACCCTATACCACCAATTAGAGAACGCATTGCCTTCGGTCAATTATATGGTATGCATCTCGATCTTCTCTTAACAAACAGCTGATAAAAGTTACAGGTATGGCAGATAAGCTCTCAAGTGAACTCTCTAGGAGCTTCACCGATGGTCCACCGATGGTATTCAGATACCTTCCTTTTGCAAAACTTGAGTATGCACTACCATACCTTCTTCGTCGAGCAACAGAGAACAAAGGTGTATTGATGGGAAGCGCAGACGGCGAAATACCGCCTGCTATATTAGAAAGGAAGAAGCTCTTTAATGAGCTAAGAAGAAGATTCTTACTACTTTAGGATATAACTTTTCGCCGGAATCACCCATAAAAGTTAGCCGGGACAGCAAAAAATGGAGCGAAAAAGAAGAAAAATTTGACTAAAATGAATAGAATAACGTATACGAATAGCTAAATTAAAATAATTGGCTAAATTAATGAATTATTTTTTTTCGGAAGATTTTTTGTGGGCGAGCGAATTGAGGAATTCCGCGATGCTGCTTCTTTTTCCTCTGCCACGAAGCAGACCTCAGATACATAAGGTCTTTTGCTGTATTATTAAGTTTGTAAGACGTTCTACAACCAATTATTGCTAATAATTGGTAGAAATGTCTGGAGCACCTTCACCACCATCTAACCCACTTGAATTGGCGCCATCTCAGCCACCAGCTGCGCATGCACTCGCTAAGCAGTCTACTGTAAGAAATAACAACGGTATACTCTACCCAGCCACAGCCCAGCCAGCTGGCGTAGAATCCGACTACGATACTGCCTTAGAATTAGAAGACGGTAGCGTAAACTTCGGATACTCATTCGGTGCCAAAGGAAAGAGCATCTCCGGAGAGTGCGTTTTCCAAACTGGTGCGTATTCTTTACTATAGACTTCCTTTCTCTTACCTAGTGAAGGTATGGTCGGCTACCCAGAATCACTTACTGATCCTTCCTACGCTGGTCAAATCCTCGTACTCACCTACCCACTCGTCGGTAACTATGGTGTGCCTGCACGCCCTGCCGAAACGAATCCATTGAATTTGCCGGAGGAATTCGAATCAGCAAAAATTCACGTCGCTGGTTTGGTTGTCTCTACTTACGCACCAGATTACTCTCACTTCCTTGCTAACTCTAGCTTGGGTACTTGGTTACAAGAACAGGGTATTCCTGCTGTATTCGGTGTTGACACCAGAAACCTCACGAAAAAGATCAGAGAAAAGGGTGTCATGCTTGGTCGTATTCTTGCTAGAAAGAATGGTGACAGAAGCGGCAGACCTTTGCTCAGCCAGCCAGCTGCTAGCTTATCTAGATCAGTTTCTACAGCTTCTATGGGCTCAGCAGTCGTAAATGACAGCTGGAAGGAGGATTTCCAAGTTATTCCTTTCACTGAGTACGGCAACACAAATCTCGTCGCTCAGGTTTCCTTACCAACCCCTCTCATCTTCAAACCAACCGCTACTCCTCTTAAGCATCCAAAGGAAGACCGTAATGTTAGAATCCTCACAGTAGACGTTGGTATCAAATATAACCAAATCCGTTGCTTCAACAACCGTGGCGTTGAAGTCAAACTCGTTCCATGGGACTACGATTTCTTGAACGAAAGCGAACCATATGATGGATTGTTCGTCTCCAATGGTCCAGGCGATCCAGCTACTGTCACTCCAGTTATCGAAAAGCTTAGAACGGCCGTCGACCAAACTAAGACACCTATCTTCGGTATTTGTTTAGGTCACCAACTTCTTTCCTTGGCTGTCGGCGCAAAGACCAAGAAAATGAAGTACGGTAACCGTGGTGCTAACATCCCTTGCACGGATATGCAATCAGGAAGATGTTACATCACATCACAAAATCACGGATATGCTGTCGACGCAGACACACTCCCAGAAGGTGTTAAGGAACTTTTCGTTAACGCAAACGATGGATCTAACGAAGGTACCTACCTTGAAGACAAGCCTGTTTTCTCTGTTCAATTCCACCCTGAATCTACCCCTGGTCCACGCGACACTGAGTTCTTGTTCGACGTTTTCATCAACTCTGTTGTAGACTTCGCTAAGACTGGTGTCAAGAAACAAATTGTTTTGCCAGGTGGTACCCTTGCTGACAACGCTGCTAAGTACCCTCGCGTTGATGTAAAGAAGGTTCTTGTCCTTGGTTCTGGTGGTTTGTCTATTGGTCAAGCTGGTGAATTCGATTACTCAGGTAGTCAAGCAATCAAGGCCCTTAAGCAAGAAGGTATCTACACCGTCCTTGTCAATCCAAACATTGCTACCATTCAAACATCTGGTCTCGCTGATAAGGTTTACTTCCTTCCAGTCAACCCAGATAGCGTTCGTAAGATCATCAAACACGAGAGACCAGATGGTATCTACGTTACCTTCGGTGGTCAAACTGCTCTTAACGTAGGTTGTAAACTCAAGGATGAATTTGAGGCCCTCGGTGTTAAGGTCTTAGGTACCCCAGTTAACACTATTGAAATGACCGAAGATCGTGAACTCTTCGCCAGAGCTATGGAAGAAATTGGTGAACACTGTGCTCCATCTGCCTCAGCAAACTCCCTTGATGAAGCTCTCCAAGCTGCCAAGAACATTGGTTACCCAGTCATCGCTAGAGCTGCTTACACTCTTGGTGGTTTAGGATCCGGTTTCGCGGATGACGAGAAGAGTCTTACTCAACTCTGTAACAAGGCTTTCGCTACTAGTCCACAAGTCTTGATTGAAAAGAGTATGAAGGGCTGGAAGGAAATTGAATACGAAGTTGTTAGAGATTGTCGTGACAACTGTATCACAGTCTGTAACATGGAGAACTTTGATCCACTCGGTATTCACACTGGTGACTCTATCGTCGTTGCTCCTTCACAAACCCTTTCAGATGCTGATTACAACATGCTTCGTTCAACTGCAGTTAAGGTTATCAGACATTTGGGTGTTGTTGGTGAATGTAACATTCAATACGCTCTTAACCCACACTCAAAAGAATACTGTATTATTGAGGTCAACGCTCGTCTCTCACGTTCATCCGCTCTCGCTTCAAAGGCAACTGGTTACCCTCTCGCTTACACTGCCGCAAAGCTTGGTTTGAACATTCCATTGAACGAAATTCGTAACTCTGTCACTCGCTCAACCACAGCTTGCTTCGAACCATCACTCGATTACTGTGTTGTTAAGATTCCAAGATGGGATCTTAAGAAGTTCAACAGGGTCAACACCGCACTTAACTCATCCATGAAGAGTGTTGGTGAGGTTATGGCAATTGGTAGATCATTTGAGGAAACTATTCAAAAGGCCATCAGATGTATTGATGACCGTTTCTACGGTTTCGGTACTAACCCATTCGTCATGGAAAAGGCTGAAATAGATGAAGAATTGGTCAACCCAACTGATAGACGTGTCTTTGCTATTGCAAATGCTTTCGTCAAGGGTTACACTGTCGATCAAATCCACAAGATGTCCAACATTGACAGATGGTTCTTGAACCGTCTTAAGAACTTGATTGAACAAGAGAAGATTTTGAGGTGAGTTAAGATTGTCACTTAACTTTCGTTATTAACCCGTGTAGCAGTGAATTCAACACCACAAATGTCACTCCACAACTTCTCCGTCAATCCAAGCAAATGGGATTCTCAGATCGTCAACTTGCCAAATTCTTGGGATCAAACGAGCTTGCTGTTCGCCGTCTTCGTCAAGAATCAGGTATTGTTCCTCACGTCAAGCAAATTGATACTGTCGCCGCTGAGTTCCCAGCTTTCACCAACTATCTCTACACCACATACAATGCTGGAGCTAGCGACATTGACTTCGAGGACAAGGGTGTCATTGTCTTAGGTTCAGGTGTTTACAGAATTGGTTCATCTGTCGAATTCGATTGGTGTGCTGTTTCTACCATCCGTACTCTTAGATCTAGAGGCGTTAAGACAGTTATGATTAACTACAACCCAGAAACCGTTTCAACTGATTACGATGAAGCTGATAGACTTTACTTCGAAAACATCTCCCTTGAAACCGTTTTGGATATCTATGACGCTGAACGTTCAACTGGTGTTATCTTGTCTATGGGTGGTCAAACTCCAAACAACATTGCTTTACCACTTTACCGTCAAAATGTTCACATTTATGGTACATCACCAGAAATGATTGACACTGCCGAGAACCGTTACAAGTTCTCACGTATGCTTGACAAGATTGGTGTCGATCAACCACAATGGAAAGAATTGTCTAGCTTCGATGAAGCTTACAAGTTCTGTCAAAACGTTGGTTTCCCAGTCTTGGTTAGACCATCTTACGTCTTATCTGGTGCTGCTATGAACGTTGTCAGCTCACCAGATGACTTGGAGAACTACCTTACTCAAGCAACTGCAGTTTCACAAGATTACCCAGTTGTTATCTCCAAGTTCATTGAAGACGCAAAGGAGATTGAAATGGATGCTATTGCCAAGGATGGTAAGATGATTATGCACTACATCTCTGAACACATTGAAAATGCTGGTGTTCACTCTGGTGACGCTACACTTGTTTTACCACCACAAGATTTGGCTCCAGAGACTGTCAGACGTATTGTTGAAGCTACTGCCAAGATTGGTGAAGCATTGAACGTTACTGGTCCATACAACATCCAATTCATCGCCAAGAACAATGAGAGTAAGTGGAGATTTAACGTGATTCATCTAGCTAATCACCCGTATAGTCAAGGTCATTGAATGTAACTTACGTGCTGCTCGTTCCTTCCCATTCGTCAGCAAGGTTACTAACGTTGATGCTATCGCTTTGGCTACCAACGCTATGCTTGGTTTCACTTTCACACCATATCCAGAGATCAGCCTCCCAGAGAAATACGTTGGTGTTAAGGTACCACAATTCTCTTTCTCTAGATTATCTGGTGCTGATCCAGTCCTTGGTGTTGAAATGGCTTCAACTGGTGAAGTTGCTTGTTTCGGTAGAGACAAGTACGAAGCTTACATTAAGGCTTTGATGGCAACTGGTATGCACATGCCAAAGAAGAACATCCTCTTCTCTATTGGTTCATACAAGGAAAAGATGGAAATGTTACCAGCTGTTCAAAACCTTCACCGTCAAGGGTACAATCTCTTCGCAACCTCTGGTACTGCTGACTTCATTCAAGAACACGGTATTCCAGTCAAGTACCTTGAAGCCATCACTGAGACTGACTCACAAAAGTCAGAGTACTCACTTACTCAACACTTGGCTAACAACTTGATTGACTTATACATCAACTTGCCATCAAAGAATCGTTACCGTCGTCCAGCAAGTTACATGAGTAAGGGTTACCAATCACGTAGAATGGCTGTTGATTACGCTGTTCCACTTGTTACAAACGTCAAGTGTGCTAAGTTACTTATTGAAGCCATTGTTCGTAAGCCATCCCTTGAAGTTGACAGCGTCGATTACAAGACTTCTCACCGTACTTTCACCTTGCCTGGTTTGATCAACGTCCAAGCATACACTGACAAGGTTGCTGAAGCCAACTCTGGTTCATTTGAGAAGGCAACATTAGCAGCACTTGAAGGTGGTTTCACTGTCGCACAAGTTATTCCAATGGGTGTTGAAAACGGCAAATCACTTCAAGCTATGCACACTAATGCTGTCAAGTCACGTTGTGATTACGTTCTTAGTGTTAGTGCAACTCCAGACAATGTTGATGGTTTGGATGCCTTCGAAGAAGATGTTCAATCACTTTACATTCCATTCAACAAGCTCTCTGGAAATGTTAACAAGGTTGCCACTATTGCTTCACACTTCGGTTCATGGCCATCTGGTAAACCAATCGTAACTGATGCTCGCTCAACTGATCTTGCAAGCATCTTACTCTTAGCTTCCCTTCACGGACGTTCAATTCACGTTACTAACGTCAGCAACCGTGATGACATCAGCTTGATTGCTTTGTCAAAGGGTAGAGATTTGAAGGTTACATGTGATGTTGCAGTCTACTCATTGTTCTTCTCAAGAGAAGACTACCCAGAAGCCACTGTTCTTCCAACTAAGAAAGATCAAAAAGCCTTGTGGGACAACTTGGACAAGATTGACATGTTCAGTGTTGGTACAGTTCCACACGAATTAGCAGTCGCTGTTGGTCAAGGAGCAAACGCATCCGCCGGTATGGCTGAGAGTGTTTCATTGTTGTTAAGCGCAGTTGCTGAACAAAAGCTCACCTTGGAAGATGTCATCTCACGTTTCCACGATGCACCAAAGGCTATCTTCGATTTGCCTGATCAACCAAACACCTACGTTGAAGTTGAAATGGACAGAGCTTCTTCATTCAGCGCAAGTGAAGGTCTTTGGTCACCACTTAATGGCAAACCAGTTAAGGGTCAAGTTGACAGAGTCGTATTCTACGGTAAGACCGTTAGATTAGCAGGTGTTAACGTTTCCAAATCAACTGGTAGAGATTTAACAGTCGCTGGTCCAATTAGAAAGCAAAGAAATGCTAGAACATCATTCTCGCAACAAACTAGACCTGCAACACAATCAATCACTGGTATTCCATCCCCAACTAAGAACAAGGATGGTCTTTCCAGCCCAGTTGATGGTACTCAACCAAGAAGCTTCATGAGTGCATTGGATCCACTTTCAACTGGAAAGGGCGACTTAACAGCTCTTAAGTCACACCCAGCATTCAAGAGACGTCACATCTTATCCGTCAAGCAATTCACAAGAGATGATCTTCACGTTCTCTTCACATTAGCTTCAGAATTGAGAACTCACGTTGAGAAATACGGTAGCGCTGATATTCTCAAGGGTAGAGTCCTTTGTAGCTTGTTCTTCGAACCATCAACAAGAACATCTGCATCATTCGACGCTGCTATGAAGAGATGTGGTGGTACAGTTGTTACCATACCAGTTGACAGATCATCAGTTGCCAAGGGTGAATCATTAGCTGATACAATCAGAACACTCGGTTGTTACGCTGATGGTGTCGTTATGAGACATCCAGTTCCAGGATCAGTACAAACCGCTTCCAAGTTCTCACCTGTACCAATCATTAACGCTGGTGATGGTACTGGTGAACACCCAACTCAAGCATTCTTGGATATCTACACTATCCGGTAAGCTTTTAGTTTTTATTTTGGAAATTACATACTGACAAACCTGATAGTGAAGAACTTGGTACCGTCAATGGACTTACTATCACCATGGTTGGTGATCTCAAGAATGGTAGAACTGTTCACTCACTCGTCAAACTCCTCAACCTTTACAACGTTCATCTCAACTTTGTTTCACCACCATCACTTAATATGCCAGATAGCATTAAGGCAGAGTGCAGAAAATCTGGTGTTACATTCCACGAAACCGCCAGATTAGATGATGTTATTGGAAAATCTGACGTTATTTACATGACAAGAGTTCAACAAGAAAGATTTAACTCAGTTCATGAATTTGAGGCTGTCAAGGATGCTTACATCTTAGACAACGCCACAATGGATAAAGCTAAGCCATCAACTATCGTCTTGCACCCATTACCAAGATTGCAAGAAATTGATCCAAATCTCGACTTTGACAACCGTGAGTTTGGTTCTTTCTAGAATGAAACAATATGCTAACTGATATTTTTAGGCGCCGCATACTTCCGTCAAATGAGATATGGATTATTCGCTAGAATGGCTCTCCTTTCACTCATCTTAGAATAAGCTAGTATGCATCAAAAAGATAACTTTGTTTTATTTCTCAATTTATAAATTTCCTTTTCAATTTTATTCTTAAAAGAGGATCAGTAAAAATGTTTTGTATATGTATATCGAATATCATAAATTTATTTGTCGTTATTATCTATGTTTTGGTTGTAATATCTTAATGTAAGACCAACCCTTATTCCTCTTTTTAGAAGACCAACTTTGTCTACTCTATCGACTGTTCGTGGGACAATACCGTGTGTCCAGTTATACCTCGCTTCGTCGGTCATACATAGAATGCTACCCGGTTTGAGAAAGATTTCAAAAGACTCGCCCGTTGAGCTTTCAAATTTCATACCTATGGACGTACCTAAGCTAACTATTATGACGCCTTCACCAAATTTTGCTAGATCTGTATGTGATGCAAGATAATAACTACGAGGTGAGCTGTCGTAGCCGTATACATTAACGATTGATTGTCTTGGAAGATTCTGATGGAAAAGTTTTTTATGTTCAGTCTGATTTATTACACCCTTGAGTTGATTTTCAAGGTAAAGGTCTAATTTGGATATATAACGCGGTTGTTTACCGAATGCAACATGTTGTGTGATATCTGGTGGATGGAATGACAAGTTAGAGATAATTTCTGATTGGATATCTTCTGGTATTAGTTCATGATGTATGTAAAGACCTGGTATGGTGATAGGTGGTGATTGATAGACAATTGGTAGTAAACTAATATCAACGTCGTCAAATTCACAATCATGATCATCAAATAAGCTATCAGATGTATCACTCATCGTCTATAAAAGAGAAGAATGCATGAGAAAAAATAATTTTAAGCTCTACCAAAGCTAGATTTATGCCACCTTGGACCACCTTCAGGACCCCTTCTACCGCCGATAGCTTTCCATCCTTTGTCTGCTTGTGGGAGTACTTTATCACCGTTGAGATAGTCCTTTGTGATATTTCCATTGATAGAATCAGGTAAGGTTTCATCGTTGAATATCAACAATCTATCAAGCAGATGCTTTCTTGTGCTGTTCTTAGGTAACATCCCACTAACAGCTTTTCTGATTATCTCATCAGGTTTTGTTGCTTTTAAGCGGTTAAAAGATATTTCTTTCAAACCACCTGGATATGTTGTATGATTTCTATAGACTATTTGGTTTGCTTTGTCACCGGTTGTTAATACTTTCGTAGCGTTCTTTACGACAACGTAGTCACCACAATCGGCTATGGATGGTGAGTAAATATATATATCTATAACTAGCTATACCCACCAGCTGGATCATAGATTGGTTTGTGTTTACCCATCAACGTCAATGCTATCCTTCCTGCTAGTCTTCCTAATACTCTATCTTTTGCATCAACCGAATGCCAGGCCCGTGAGAATGCTAGAGAAGTCTATTTGAAGCTATTAGTAAAAAAGTATTTATTTATTAATCGACTGACATTTCCAATCGTATGTGATCCTACCATCCTGACTGTTAGAAGAGAACGTCCATCTTTATTCAATGGAAGAAGAAGTTGGTATAAACGTTAGAACTGGTTTGTTATCGAGAGTTAATAAGAAATTAAATAAAAATACTACAATCAAAGAGCCAACTAAATCTTCTGCTTCTACATTCGCTGATTATGGTGTACACCCTAGCCTCTGCAACGCTTTGAAATCATTGAATATAACAACACCCACTGAGATTCAGAAGTCCTGTATGGCAGAGATTATGAATGGTAGAGACTGTATAGCTAGCGCAAAAACTGGTTCAGGTAAAACAATAGCATTCGGTTTACCTATTTTACAACATTTAACGAAGGATCCATATGGCATATGCGCTATCATCCTTACTCCAACTAGGTAAGCTTTCTTATTCTCCTTATCCCTTCCCTTTCTAACTATATTGATAAGGGAATTGGCATTTCAAATCGCTGATCAATTTCACGCTCTCGGTGGACATTTGAACTTGCGTGCACCTGTAGTAGTAGGTGGTATGGATATGATGGAGCAGGCTATAGAATTACAGCGTAGACCACACGTTGTTATAGCCACACCGGGTAGATTCGCAGATTTACTTAAATCTAAAGGTGAAGAATGGAATTTGAACAAAGTTAAATACTTGGTTTTGGATGAAGCAGATAGATTACTCAGTACGACATTTGCACCAGAATTGTCAGAAATTTTCAGTCATTTACCAACTAAAAGACAAACTTTACTTTTCACAGCAACGGCAACGCCTGCCATTATATCACTCAAGGATAAAAAACCAGCAGAAGGAAAGCAACCACCTTTCGTACACCTCCTTCAAGATGATCACTCCACTCCTGAAAGTCTTCAACAATTATATGTTCACGTACCTTCGCATGTTCGTGATGTATATCTTCATCATTTGTTAATTAATCCGCCTGAAATTGTCGAAGATCAGAGGCATACACCACCTGATCTCTCAAATCCCGTTTCAAAAAGTGCATTCGATGAACAATCAAAGAAGAGGAAAAGGAAGGAGAAAGTACTTAGTGAAGAAGATTTAGAAATCTTAGCATTTCAACCAGTACCTACAATTATTTTCACTGCTCGTTGTCAAACTGCTGCACAATTAACTACAGAATTACAACAGATGAAAGTTCGTTGCGCACCTTTACATAGTTATCTCAATCAAGCTGAAAGGTTACACAGTTTATCATTATTTAGAGGTGGCGTTATACCCGTTTTAGTTGCAACTGATGTTGGTAGTAGAGGTTTAGATATACCTGAAGTTGCACTCGTCGTTAATTATGATTTACCCAGAGATCCTAATGATTACATTCATAGAGTTGGTAGAACCGCCAGAGCTGGAAGGATTGGTGTTAGTGTTAGTTTCGTAGCAGAACGTGATGTTGATTTGGTCGAGGCTATTGAGAAACACACTGGTGTCACTATGGAAGAACATTCAATGAATGAGAATAAGGTATTGGAGAATATGAATAAAGTATTCACAGCCAGACGAGTAGCAAACCTTGCTTTACATGATAGTAAATTCGGTGAGAAGCAAAAGATAAACAAAGCTAAAAATAAGAAGAGAAGGAAGTATGAGAAGGAGTTCTTGGAAGGTGCAGGTTAAGACAGTTTTTTATTTTGTTGTATTTATTATTTATTATAGATTGTTCGTTATCACCTAACGTGAACTAATGACTGGCGTGAATTACATGAACAGCGTTAGGTATGTTACTTAGAAGTGCTAGAATATCATTGAACAAAGGAATAGGCAGAAAGTAAGGCGTGTACATAAATCTAAGCTAATCTCGAAAAAAGTGTCAGAAGGTAATATAAACAACGAAAATATCAATGATGTGTGTCATGTTTAATAGAAAAGAGAAACTTAATTTAATGCGCCCTTGCAGATCTTGAGCACGAGTCGGTAAGAAATCCGATGAGACAATCTCCTGACAAAGTTTAATAGTCACAACTGAACGTAAGCATAAATTGCTGAAATCGTGGAATTTGATAGTGAAAAGATGAGAATGCATTGGTATATAACTAACGAATGAATGCGATTGTTGAACTAGTATGGGATTAAGTACTATGGAATTCTCTGTCCTTTGTTCCAATATTTGCCTGGTAAATGTGTATTGCTGGACGTGGTATCTGTTGAATTACTTCTACTGCTGGTATATCCGTCACAAGTAGAAAGACCCTTCCTCTCGTTTGTGGGTTCTCTAAATATGCTGCTACCCCATATACTCCTGGATTGTTGTCTTCCCCGCGTTTCTGTGTCCTGCAAACCGTGCATTCGCTCTTATTCTTTGTTATTACGCGTATTATTTCCTACGTTTTTACTCACAATATCTTATTTTCTCTGATCGTAAGCTAAGAAAAGACACTTTCGGCATTTTCTGCTCGAAGATCATCTGACAGGATGTGACGTCGACAAATGCCAATTATGAGGTCCAAATGAAGCAAATCTATTAAATTAAAAAAAGTTTTTCAATCTTTAATATCAAAGATATAGCTAGACATTAAAGGTTCCTCATTTATACCGACCTCCACCGATCAGATTGCTTAGGCTCTTTCTTGGATAGCTTATGTAGATACTTGTTCATATACCTCAAATGAATGGATATAATATAATTTTCAATTTTTATCATATCAATGACTAGATAATCAATCAACTGCTGCGCTCAGTTCGTTAGATAGTACGACGATGTTCAACGACAAAGAAGTTACAGTTATTTTCGTTTTAGGCGGTCCAGGTGCTGGTAAGGGTACACAATGCGAGAAGTTAGTAGCGGATTTCAACTTCTGTCATTTGTCTGGTTAGTATAACCTTATTCACTTAACTATTCACTCAATTCGCTATCCCTCCAGCTGGTGACTTGCTTAGAGCAGAACAACAAAGGGAAGGTAGCAAAGAAGGTGAACTTATTAGAAATTACATAAAGGAAGGTAAAATTGTTCCGTCATACGTCACACTCAAGTTGTTAGAAAACGCAATGAATGAGTCAATCAATGTAAACAAGAACAGTCGCTTCTTAATTGATGGGTTCCCACGTCAGATGGATCAAGCTGAAGCATTCGATGCTCAAGTCTGTAACTCAAAATTTGCGCTTTTCCTCGATTGTCCAGAGAAAACAATGGAAGATCGTTTAGCTATACGTTCAAAAACTTCTGGCAGAGAAGATGATAACATTGAATCAATTAGAAAAAGATTCAAGACATTCATTCAAACTTCAATGCCTGTCATTGAATACTACAAATCTTTAGGTAAATGTATTCAAGTTGATTGCACACCAGCAATTGATGAAGTTTACCAAACCATCAAGGCTATAGTTCATGAAAAAATTGTATAGACTACATAATTAATGTCGCATTCCTTTATTGTCTCTTTAGTTATATGGGAAACTTAGAAACATTATTATGAAAGAAAAGGCGTTGATTTTGGCTACTTTTTGACCTCAGCTAGTTATTGCATCGCTGCTACAAGTGAGGCTTCGAAAGTGCCTATTTGAGTATCGCATGAATGGTTACCTTCTACATCAGATATCCTCACAAGAGATACTCATGATTGTAGAAATTCAAGAGAGAAGATGGAAATTTCATATTTTTTCATTTTTTATTCTTCACCCCCCGCGCGTCATAAAATTGGTAGACGACAGTTCGCGTCATTTAAAACGCGTCAATTTATAAAAAGGAATGAGCAATACAGCTAATCCATTGGCTTTTTATCAGAGTTTATATTCTTGTCAAGTAGCAGCTGACAGTTGTGTAGATGAAGTGAGATAAAGAATATACATTCCTTATATCATCTAATTATCTAATCAGGCAGACGAAGCATTAAGACAATTACGTGATGGTTTGTCAGATGTTGCACGTTTTAAACAAATTTCTGAATTCAATCGTCACTTCATACTCATTAGTGAATCGGAAGTCAATAACGCCAAGTCATCATTGGCAGCTGATATTGAACCACAAATACGGAATTTAACCACAAGAGCTGAAACCGCATTGAATAACCTCCTTATACGTCAAGATCAACTCAAACATAAAGCTATACGTAGGCAAGAATTGGCATACAACGCCAAGTCAAATTTAAGTCCAGAGGACGCAGGCATACTTCAAAAGTTATCCTTACAAAAGGAAAGATATCAGGTTCAAATTGCTGACGAGGAGGCACAACTTAGAGAACTTGAGGAGAAACTTCAAAATGAATTCTAATCATTTATGTAATTTTTATAGTGACGAATATGTACTATTACTAGCTTTGTATATCCCATTTATAGCTTCTTTCCATTCATCAATATTTGGACGTGAAAATCTTCTGTCGTATGATAGTAAACCGTTTACTTCACTCTCAATATCCGTAGTCTGAGTGTATACTGCACCTGTACATAATCCTGTAAACTCAATTTGTCTTCTTAATTCTTCAAGTATGAATTGAGTTCTGAAATTCCACGTTGGTACATCTCCTGCAACCTCATAGGTTTCTTTGTATGTTCTCATATCTGGCCAATTATGTTCTGGTGGTGCAAGATGTCCAACTCCACCCATTTCCATATTGGCTTCTATTCTCTTGCCATCAGGTGATGTAACTAATGTGGTTTCAACATTAATACCGCAAAGTGGTTCACTGTAATGATGTACATCATGGAAATCACCATAACCGTTGTCTTTCCATCCACTCGCTGCATCAATCAAACGAGTTGAATCAATTTGCACAACTTTATCAAGTAATTGTTTCTCAATTCCGCCATCAATTTGACCCCATCCTTCGTTATATAACACCCATGTAACAATTGACGGGAAATTCTTGTGACTATCGACGATTTCCAAAAACTGTCTTTCAAATTCACCAATCTGCGCAGATGTTGGTGTACGATCGTGCATCATACTTGGAGCATCTTGCCAAACTAACATACCAACTCTGTCTGTGTAATGGTAGAAAAGATCGGGCTCAACTTTAATGTGCTTTCTAATACCGCTGAATCCAATATCTTTGAGGTAATCTACGTCAAACTGCATTGCTTTTTCACTAGGTGGTGTATACAACCCGTCTGGCCAGTATCCTTCGTCAAGTGGCGCGAAAGTAAAGACAAATTCGTCATTAAGGAGGGGTTTCTTGATACCATCTTTAATTCCAACTTCAATTGAACGGAATCCTACATAACTTTCTACTGTCTCATCTTCTGTTTTTATTGTAATATTGTATAGATGAGGATTAGAAATATTCCATAGCTTAACACCATTTACGTGTAATCGGAATGGTTTGTTCGACTTGGCTGAAGTTTTGGCCACTATTGTATCATTATCTTTCAATTGTAAGTCAAACTTTGTAGGTTTCTCTGTATGAATGACACCACTCAAAACTCCCTTTTTATCACCCGATATGTCAACTTTCTTGATATGGTTTCTTGGAACTGATTCTAACCAAACTGATTGCCAAATACCACTACATGGCGCGAAGAACATGTGTCCGTGAACATTCCTTTGCTTTCCTAGCGGTATGTTTTCTCCTAATTTATCGGTTGGATCACGTACGAAAACTATAAGCTCATTGTCGTATTCTTTGATAGCATGAGTGATGTCAACGGTAAACCTTGAATAACCACCCCTATGTGAACCAACACCGACGCCATTTAGATATACAACCGCTTCATAATCTATTGCGTCGAAATTGAGTAAAAATTGTTCATTTCTGAGGTTATGTGATACATTGAAAAGTGTCCTAAACCAGTTGTGTTCGCTATATTCACTTATACCACTTAAACCACTTTCTATACAACTTGGAATGAGAATTTCACGAGGTAATTTCTCACCAAATGGCGGTGAAAACAGCTCTTTCGTTCCCTTTGCTTTGCTATATTCCCATAAGCCGTTAAGGTTCTGCCAATTTGACCTGTGTAGTTGTGGACGAGGGTAGTTATCCCATCCAGTGTGTGCATCCTTCGTCCATGGTGTGTCTAACACAACTTTTGATTTATAGTTTTCAGTTTGACCGGTGTACTTTTTACGAGTTACCGTTAATTGTGAGAAAGGGTTAATCATTACTGTCATTATAATTGCTGTCGTTACTATCATTACAAGGGCTTTCCATCCAAATTTGACGCCTTTGCTTTCTTTCTCTCTCTCACCCAATATTGGTGATCTAAGCGAGTGGTTTAAGCTTTAAATTATAATTTTATACAATATCCGCACCTTTCATCGTTGTTCTTCATCGTTGGTTTTAAAGATACCGAACTGCGTGAATGCGGGGTAAATTCATGACAGGTGATGTCAGAATTAGATTAGGTTTCTGACGAAATATTTTGATATCAAGAGGTTACCATTAGATGTGCTAAATAACCTATGTAATCACATACTCATTTTAAGTGCACATGTGTTCCTTCGGTCATTTCGCTCGATTTAGGCAGGTGATCAGAACGAACTTTGACCCTTCCTTTATTTTGCTGATCCATCAATTCACCATCTTCGTATCTTTACGTCCATCTTCAGAAGTAAACCGAATATCTTAAAGTCCAGATACAGTTACCAAACATACAGCGGTAGTTGTTCATCAAGCTTAAAAGTTTCGTAGCAATCAACAACGAACAATATCCAATGGACATGGGATCTACGACATATCTAATGCACATTTAAGGCAGTTCGCTGGTGTTTTACGTATGATCAGAACGTGATGAAATTAAAAGTTCAAGAATAATGGTATCCACCTGATCCTTTTTACTCCTTACATGATTAGGCTCTATGTTAAATGGTATTTTAGAACTAAATTCCCTACAAAGTATGTTTCATTATCTTCTGATCATACTTGAATCTGTGACTCTATGTCGTCTGCTTTTGTCTCCTGAACATTAATGTTCTCTATCGAACCCTTTGGTATCGATAACTGTAACCGTTCTAGGTGCGTTGCTTCTCCTTTTGCATAAGGACTGTGGTCGTTTGCGTTAATTACAGCTTTAAGTCTACGCCATGCAATCCTTGTTTCAGCATATCTTTCAATAACACGGGCTATCCAATGCCCCAAATTAGCAAAAATATACACAAAACATGCTATCTTTATATATGCTGGTCTTGGTATGTAATTGCAGATCAGATTAGCCCAATCTGCCTTATAGTTACATCCACTTTCACATTTATTAAACTGACTAGAATATGTATCTTCTAGTATATTTTGAGAGTGCTCCCATGATTGATAAATCGTCTTTTCCACCATCAAGTCATCATCCAATCTCCCTTTCATTGCGTCCGCATATGCCATAGAGCATAAAACACCAACAAATAAGATTTTAAGGTTAAAATAAATCATAATGTTTCAAGTCGATCGTTATAGTATGAAACACTAAAAGCGTGTAAAGTAGTAAGGTGAAAAGTGCTAGACAGTGTAGTGATCCATCCGTGGTATAATAATAAAAAATCAGATCCTCTTGTGAGTGATTTTATTGATTGGCCGAAGTGACCTTGTGTTATTCATTGGCAAGATCTCGATTTCCCAGCGGTTCGTCTTCCAAACTTATGAGGCACAGCTCGTTGTATTGAGGCTGGAAGAATGAGTGGATTCTTTCAACATTATGAAGCTTACCTTTTGTTTCAGTTACTCTCTAGTATACTGATTTGTCTGATGAAATTTCTTGCTGATATCGATCTGCTTTTCATGCAGTTATGTTAGTTTTGTGTGTGCATGTTTTGACGTTGTATCTTTCAGCTCTACTTCAGATACGTTTAGCTGGAGTGAGTTTGGTAAAATCGTTGATAAAGAATACGGATGGTGTAGTTCTGTGCATCCCTTGACGCTGTTTTAAGTACAAAATGGATTGTTTTGAAATAAGTAACTGCTTTCAAGTCCATGTTTTCTTATGTCAGAGGTAGTTATGTTGCATAGTCAGTTGATACGCAAACATGAGTTTGATGAGGTGTAAAGAAATGTTTGGCACTTACTCATAGTTGGGTGTTATGCAATCTTATTATACCCGCGAGTATACCCGCGAGTATATACCCATTACTCTTTGTATTAGCTTCGCTGAAAGCAACTTCTGCAATGTAATTGACTATCCTTCAACAACCAATTCATCAATCTTTGGTACTTGAATCAAGTTTGATGGCAGATGAGTAATTAGTGATTCCTTTGAGGGCCATATTATGCGAGATGCTGTCATTACCGCTAAACAACTTGCATTTAGGCAAGTCGATTAGTTTAAAATATATCTGCGAATTTGGTAGCAAAAAAATGTCCTATATGTATCAATGTGTCAAAGAAACTTGCTGCCTTGGTGTCAGGAAATTTTTGAGAAGAATAATTTTAGAGGTTTTTAAGCAAACAGATACACATCTCAGCCAAAAAACACAGTTCAACAAGCCTCGCTAGCTCAATCGGTAGAGCGTGAGACTTTTAATCTCAAGGCTGCGGGTTCGAGCCCCGCGTGGGGCTAATAATCTTTTGCTTTTTTGACGACTTCTCGCGAATGATTTTTATCCCACTCGATATAAATCCATCAAATTTCTTTTTAAGTGATTCTTTTAGCTTCATTGTCACTACTGAAACATCAGGTGAAATGATGTTGTGCTGCTTTTGTTTAGAATATCCCAAGATTGATATATGTATTTTTTTAGAGTATTTATATATACATATGCTTTATTTAATGACCGATATTTGTCGATTAACTTCCTGAGTATCCAAATCAAAATACTGCCAAATATAATGTCATGCCTTCCGTGATCCTACAGATCAGTGTAGGGAGACTATAGAAATGCCCACTATCCCATAAGTACAGATGATCCACTTGGTGATCTTCTAATTATCTACTCAAGCTTATCTGACGCTCTTCCATGTAAATCACACCATCTAGTACAACAGGTCAGGAGGTATCAAGAACGCCCAGAGCACAAGAAATACTACATTTATCAAGATCATCAAGCTCCAAATACTACAATATCATCAGACAACAACCTTATGTTGTCATTCAAGATAGTCTCCACTAAATCACAGGGTGGTAGTGTTGTATTTCACAGCGACAAATGCTCAGTACTTCTTTAATGTAATTCCAGATAGAAAAGCTAATATGCGAGTTCTATATATCACCATTCATAGTATCAAAGTTGCGATTGGCATGCTCGAAAATGTTTCATTTCAGCCGACGCTGAGACATTTTAAACATAAATGAAGCTTTTATAGTTATAAATTTTAGCGCGACGCTTCATAATTAGTACTGCATAATATAATCACCAATTAATTAATTTCTCGTACGATAAAAATTTCGTGTGAAGCATCTAAGTCAAACTTTTTTTTTTTTTAGTAAATATCAATGGATTGCTCGTGAAGCTATAATACAAAATATGGTAGATATGGAAATGCCCAAAGACAAAATTAAGAAATGATTTGATTGCAACCCCTAAGAAAAATGCTTAAAAACGAACATTAGTCATCGTTTGACGCGTGAATTGGTTCATCTGAAGGTGCTATGCTTACTCTACGCCTAGCTTCAGCTATATTTGCCAAACCAGATAAACGTCTACTAGCTAACTTGCGCTGTCTTGAACTAAAGTTAGTACCTTCCAAATTCTCTGAAGGTGGACCACGTGGTTGTCTAACGCAACCTTGAGGTGTGGCACCAGCTGAGTTCATCGCTGAGGGTACTCTAAATGAGGTGTTTCTACCGTTAGCTGGTGCAGATTGCGGTACAGGTGGTAATAAACCCAAATTTGAGTATGTCTTTTTCTTATTGTTATTACGATTATGAGTAGCAGATTGCGGTAACTGTATTTCCTTGTCTTCATGAATTGGTGTGCTCGTGTTGAGTGCTGATAAGTTCAGACTTGCCGGTCTACGGCCTTTGAAAGACGCAGAATTGTTAGGAGCACGTAAATGAGAAATTGAAGGAGGATTTGAAGACATCCTACGATTTCTAATACTGTTCTGCATATTATTTGAAGCGTTCTCACGGTGGTTTCCTTTTGTGGGATCCAAATGCATCTGAGCGAAAATCTCTTCAGTCTGTGCCTGCAGACGTGCTAGCTGTTCAATAGTAGCTTGCTGCTGTTGTAACTTTATCTATTAGATGATGTGCGCCACTATGATGAAATCTACTCACTATGAACTCCTGTTGCTCAATTTGTGAAGGGCGACGTAAGCCATTCAATAGCTGAGCACGTCCTGAAGCCGACCGGCGAGCTGCAGGCGCATCCATATTTTATTATTTAGAGTGATGGTTTAGTTGTAAACTTCGAAGGTGCTGTCATCGCAGAATAATTTAAAATGTCGAAACGCGATGGAGGAGAGCAGAAAAGTAAAACAGCTAGTAGTAAACAAACTCTCTATCAATCACAGTCACAGTCTAGTCAGCAGCAGAACCCCTACGAGAACTGTGAGTTACTTACTATGACTTGATCTGATAATAGCTGACGTGGTACACCCAGACGGATACGGCGCTAGGGCAGCTCACATACAATCTCCTTATGGACAAGCTCCACAATACCCCCACTACACCCTCGATCAGCAACAGCAAGCCTACGCTGCTCAAATGAATGCCTACAACAACGCAGCATATTACTACCCGCCAACTATACCACAGTACTATCCATCACCTCCAGTAATAGCTAATAGCGAACCTGAGCCACCTGCAAAACGAGGCAGGACTAACACATACTCAAGTGCTAGGGAAATGCCATACACACCACAGCCAAATGCTTTCCCACCTTCTACCGCACGTAAACATCAGCAACAGAGTAGGAACAAACCAGCTCGTGCTGTAATACCAGAACGTCCAAATTTTCCCTCCAATAATCAAGATCAGGAACATCACCATAACTCTAACAAACGCTCACATAATGCTATGAACGCAGGTAGCAATAACAATCTCAACAATAGGTCTAGTAAGAGGCAAGCACAAGGTATTAGCAAAGCAGGTAAATCAATGCACTCCTCAAATCAACAGAAGTTTAAAGCTCAGAACAAACAGCCAACGAGTATAAACTCTGACGATAAGAGGAGAACTTTGACAGATTTTAGAATAATAGCTATCAAAATACCCGTGATAGATTGGGAGTGGAATCAGGGTGAAAGTGTGAATCAAGAAGATAAAGATTCATCAAAAGAAATGGCAAGATTGAGATTATATTTTGCTTCACCTCCAAGCCTTGAAAAAAAGAGAGGTACACCACAAACGAAGACTAAAGAAAGTGAAATGCCCATGGTAAAACCAGATGTAGATCAATCTTTAGACCCTTTCGATAATAAAATTAAAGAGATTGAAGAGACAATAGACAAACAAGGTATACTTGAGCCATCGTCAAATAGAATATCATTATCATATGATCACAACACACGTAGATTATTACTTGATGCTGAATTAATTGAGGATGTTATCATCAAGCGAAAAGAAGCCAAGATACTCATAAAAATGCGTCTTCAAAGGACCATTGATCCACTATCCAAACTAGTTGAAGAAACCAAATATGTTCCTGAAATAGAGAGAGATAATATAATAAACAGTCATAAATCTCAAATTGAAGCTGATAATGCTGATAATTGGAGGATATGTCCTGGTATTTTGCTGGAAATCTACGATAACGAGCAGGAGTCATATATACCACTTAAGAGAAATTTTGATGACAATAACGATGATAAAAGTATACCACCGTTCCAAAAACTTGTTGCACAATCTAGTCGTGAAACAGTCGACCAAGAGGGTCTACCACAGTTAACTAATGAAACTATGTTAATTGAGTGTTCATTGGAAACTAACCAACCCCTCACTGAAGCCAGGTGGGTACGTAATGGGAATGTAGAAGAATGGATCGAGCAGACAGTTTCTGGGGCTGCTTTCAACGCTTATAAGAACTATATCGCTAAACAGCAAAATATGTCTGCTAGAGTTGGTTGGCATGGAAAAATCAAAGTTTTGGATCCTGATCCGGTAAGTAATTGGATTCATTATATGCATACTCGATTGACGTCCAAATCAAGCCTCCAACAATGGTGTCACGAATGAACAACTGGGCCAAAACGTCTTCTACCTTCTCATTCAAAGAGCGCCAGAAGTTCCTGGTTTGGTGGTTTGGAATCGATGAGAATCTCATAGTGCAGTTAGAGCCTAAAGACAAGCGCACAAAGAATAACGACGAGCATGAAGAAGAGGTCGATAAAGGTGACAAATGTGTTGATAAAGCTAGCGAAGAAAATGATAAACATAATGATGCAGACGATATTGACAATGACAAGAACAGCGTAACTGGAGAAATAAATGATATAGTTAAAGAATTAGAAGTTCTTGCTAGGGAGCAAGACGATGATGACAACATTGATATACAGTTAAGCCAATCACGTATGACAACATCAACGATGGTAACAGCAGAAGAGTATGACGGATCACAAGCAGGACTTGACGCTGCTATTGAGATATTAACAAGATTTATACCATTCCCAATCGCAAGCGAATCCGTGAAGGTAATATTAAAAAATAATGCATCAACTAATAAGGACGATGTTATACAACAGGTTAGAAAGCTTCCACAGAATCTTATAAATCGGTCTTTGGATTTTGCTTTCAAGGATTATATACGGTTGGTTGGTAGACCTAAGAGATATTAGCAAATAGTAAGTGGATGTATTTGTTTTTCCAATCGTTTCTTCTTCTTTTTAAATCTTCAAGTCTTCGTAATGGAAGTACTTTCTTTTGCATTGTTTTTTTTCTTTTAATGGTCATATATATCCATCTTGATTTATATGTCACAGTAGATTGCGATTCGCATGCAAGCATGCCGATGAGTACTTTATGAGTAGCTGTAATGCAGCACTTTGCAAGTCTTTGCACAAATAATTAAAAACAATATGTAATGTATAACAATTTCATATCAGTGAATACAATGCTGAAATTTTTACGAAAGGAAGTATACGAATATCCACTTATTCACTTCCATTTATGATACGAACGATATCATCATCAGCATGTTGGTCTAATAACTCTTGAAGTCTTTCTGTAGCTATTTGCTTTGCCTGTTCAACGTCAAAGTTGAAAATATCAGGTACGTGGTGGTTTTCACCTAGTAAACCGAGTTGACTATCAGTCCATAAACTCTCAGCGTCAACTAATTCAGGTTGACCAACACCTGCTCTTCCACCCATTTTAATCCAATCAGATTCCCTTGGAATTGATAACTTGTTCCAAACTTCATCAAGACTTCTAACGAGATGATCCATAGCTTCAATTGAGTGACCTGGTGTTGGTGTGATTCTTAATCTTTCTTCACCAACGGCAACAGTGGGGAAGTTAAGTGCTTGCATGTAAACACCATGATCGACGAGTAAACTATCTGAAGCTTGCTTTGCTAATGCAGCATCACCGACGAGTACTGGAACGATATGTGAAGGTCCTGGTACGACGGGAATATCAACATCACGTAATTTGTTTTTCAGATTACGAGAATTAATTTGTTGCTTAATTCTATCACCTCTGTAAGCTTTCTGGTATGCTATGGATGCTTGAGCACCAGCTGCAATAGCAGGTGGAATTGATGTAGTGAAAATAAATCCAGGTGCGTATGATCTGATCATATCAATGAAATCTGCTGATCCTGCAATGTATCCACCAACGACACCGTAAGCTTTACCGAGTGTACCGGTTATGATATCGACTTGATCCATAACTGAGCCTTTAACAGCCTCGGATGTTTTTGAATGTGATTGGAAATCGAGATGCTCAGCTACACCCGCACCCGTTGGTCCATACATACCAACAGCGTGTACTTCATCATTAAATGTGATGGCACCGTATTTCTTTGCCAACTGACAGATTTCCCTGATTGGTCCGATTGAGCCACACATTGAGTATACAGATTCGAATGCGATAATCTGGGTGTCTAGTTAGACTAGTTGGACAAATAAACAAATTACGCACTTTTGGTGTTTCCTTTGGGTATTTTCTCAACCGAGCTTCCAAGTCGTTGAGATCGTTATGCTTCCAAATTTCTTTTTTAGCACCAGAGTGTCTGATACCTTGAATCATTGAAGCGTGATTCTGCGAATCTGAGAAAATAACACATCCAGGGAGCTTTGAACCAAGTGTTGATAATGTAGCATCATTGGCTACGTAGCAGGATGAGAAAACCAAAGCAGCTTCTTTGCGATGAAGTGAAGCGAGTTCAGCTTCGAGACTAAGGTGAAGTTGACCATTACCTGCGATATTACGAGTGCCACCTGCGCCCGCACCATATTTATCTAAGGTTTTCTTCATAGTGTCTATCACGATCTGATTTTTGCCCATACCGAGGTAATCATTAGAGCACCAAACAGTGACTTCCTCGTCTGGACGTGAAGTGTGAGCTACTGGGAATTTCTGAGCCAATCTGTTTATATTGTTGAAGTAGCGATAACTAGCGTCGTCATGCTTTTTCTGGAGTTGATTGGCGTAGAACTCTTCATAGTTGAATAAAGCGTTGCTAGTTGATGGTTGCGCTGGTTGTGGTATTGGAGCATTTGCTGCTGCTGCTGCTGCCTTTGCTGCTGCGATACCTGCAGCTGCGTGCGGACATACGCCACCAGAGCTCTTCTTTACGCCTTCCTTTGCGTGTATAGCGTCTACGTCCTTCTTGGAAGCTACGGAAGCGTAATGTTTCTTTTGTTGCTGCATAGCTGGGCCCATGACAGGACAAGATTGGGCTTTTGTAGTGAGATTGCTAGTGAAGCCATTAGAAGTAGTTCTAGAGAGTGTAGATAGTTGCTTTGTTGTGTTGCTGCCTAAAAACGGACAGAAAGATCTATATCTGCTAATATTTCTGAGATTCATTGATTAGACCTGTAGGAGTGAATTCAGAGATGACAATTCAAGATCATTCATTGGCTTGTTTGACAGAAGACAAAATAAAAAATAAAAATCTGTTATTCAATAATTAAATTAGCTTGCTATTTCTTTAATATACCAATGCTCTGCTTATTATCCCGGTATATAGCTTATAAGCAGTAATTACCATCGAGTGGAGGCGAGAGATGTAGAGCTGCAGATGTGAGATATTAAAGTTATTGGTTTTCATAATAGCACATGTCGTTTACAGCGTGAAGAATACGCCAATGGAGAAGTTGTCGTCAGATTTCGGTGGAGATAGCGATATTCCTATGTTAGATAGCTATAAATGTCATCCCCGAGTAATCAGGCTTTTCTGACTAATAAATAATAATCACGCTTTTGCTTACATAAGAACAAAAAATCGATCGGAAGGTGAAATTTTTAGCACCGAGAATGCACTTTAATATGGGAATGTATACATCTATTGATTCCTTAAAATATGCTGAATAATAATATTTTATTAGATCTCCACATGCCTTTTCAGAAAAATCTAAATTTTCTCGGGTGTGCTTAGTGAAGACGTGATTACAAAGCTCGGGTCGAAAATAAGTTGATATCACCTTTCGTTATACAATCATCACAACTTCATACTTTCTTTAAAACAATGCTCGATCAAGCACAGTTGCAAGCAGTCAATGAAAAGCTCGCTAATGCCACTCCACAAGAAATTCTTGAGTGGGCAATCGACAACCTCGATGGACTTTATCAAACTACAGCCTTTGGTTTGACAGGTACCATTGCTGTCGATATGATAAGCAAGATCAGCAAAGCTAGAGGTACTTCTCATTCGATCGATCTCATCTTCTTGAACACACTCTATCACTTCCAAGAGACAATCGATTTAGCAAAAGCTGTTAGTGAGAAGTACAACGCAAAGTTACACAACTACATCCCAAATGGTGTTAACAATGTAACTCAATTTGAAGCACTCTACGGAAAAGAATTATGGAAGACTGATGAGGATATGTATGACTTCGCAGTTAAGGTAAGTAGTTGTTTTACAATGCTCAAACACACTTCTAACAATTTTTTCAGGTCGAACCAGCTCGTAGGGCATACGAAGAACTCGGCGTCAAAGCCGTTTTGACTGGAAGAAGGCGCAGTCAAGGTGGAGAAAGGGCAGCAATCCCTGCCATAGAAATTGACGAAACCGGTTTAATCAAGGTCAACCCACTCGCTTCATGGACCTTTAACCAAGTAAAGGAATACGCGGATGCGAACCAAGTACCATACAATGCCCTCCTCGATAAAGGATACAAGAGTGTTGGTGATTGGCACTCCACCAAGGCACCATCCGGTGTATCCGCATCTGATGCAGACGAGCGTAGTGGCAGATGGTCAGACAAGGGTGGTCAAAAGACTGAATGTGGCCTCCATAAGGACTTCTTCGTTATGAAGCGCGCTTTCGAGAAGCGCAAGCGTGAATTAGAGTTAGCAAAGAAGGATTCAGAAGCTCAAGTACAAGTACAAGCTTAAGACATCTCGAAAAATTCTCTTTTTTTGCATAGAACTAATACGCGCATAGATTATAACAAATTGTATTAATAACGAAAAGTCCAAATAATGAATAATTGCTCTACTATATTTTTAAGTCATGAAATCTGGTGGTCGTAGGAATCCATCTAGTGCAGTATCAAACATTTCATTTCGTATTGGCATTTCGGGTATATGGAATGGGTTCTTCATCACAGTGTCAGCGTATATTTCATAAACTCTATTCAATAGGGCTTGACTAGCGGGATGACCGGGCGTCGTGATGAGAACGAACTTTGTACCTATAATGAAATTATATTAGGGCGATATATGATAGGTATTGATTAAACTAACCTGTTCTCGTCAAAAATACAGTGAGATCGAATGAATCAGACTCTAGCAACTGCATGCCGCTAGATTTTGACGTTGTTATTGGAGATATACGTGAACATATCGCGTGTACACCGTGTAGTGTGCCTGCGAGTACCAGTTGTTCGTTTGTGTTCAATCCGGGTAATTGATCTTGTACACTTGAGTGAGAGATAAAGGTTTGGAGATATTTACTAACCAGAGAATGATCGTAGGTATACCAAACCACCTGCCTTGTTCAGAATCCAGAGGCTGTGCACGATAGGAAATGACATCTGATGATGGTAGTACTTCTCCACCTGTACGTACCACCATCAATGTCGACATCGAAAACAGTGAGCACAACTTCTACACAGGAGTACAATCTAATGGGTATATACTTATTAGATAGATATACCAGTTGAGGTCAGAGATGACTTGCGTAAATTCAGATTTAGCAGGTTAAAAGGTATATCTGTACTGATCGTGAAGGTGAGTTCGAGAGATAAGGACAAATTACATAGCTGATATACTATTATAAAGATAAACAAACAGACTGTCGGTGTATATCTGCTGCTATCAACTCATCTTACACCTCACAGCTCAGTTTGGAAACACAGGAGCGTCTGGAGGATATCTCACTAGAAGAACTAGCAGATGGTAGGATATTATTATACACCTAGATCTATTCTCACAATACCCAAGAATTGCCAGAAAACGCACCTAGATACGTCGTCATATCATATCCAGTTAAGCATCCAGATGGCAGAATAGCAGTCCCATTGGCACTTATAAATTGGAAGCCAACAACTTCCTCACCTGAGATGAACACGCTCCATGCGTCGTAAGTTATTACAATACTGAGAGACTACTATCTAAAGTTTACCCAGTGGACTGTCTATGTTCCAGCAAGTAGCTGAAGTCAGCAGAGTAGGTTGTTACCTTAGAGATATCACATTATCTCACAAAGTACACCCAGATCGTCGAAGTCAGAGACGGTGCAGAAGCATTAACGGAAGAACTCCTTAATAAGGCATTAGGATAGTGTACACTATCAATTTTGTAAAATCTAGAAATTATTATCAAAACGACTGAAAGTGACGTCTTCTCTCTTGCTTCCAACCATAATGTTGAGCTTAATAGAGAGGCTATATGCGAGTGATATGGAGATACTAGCGACTGAAATAGAGACACTCTCGGCTATATATGGCGACGATGCCTTATCTGAGTATAACAGCGTGAACAAAGATAACGAGGACAGAACGCGATTGAAAGTACACATCAAGTGGGTCTTGTATGATATTACTAGTGTATGACTAACAAGCTAGTCTTCTTGAACCCTACGAAGACGTCTTTGTTGATATCTTGATATCATTGCCTAGAACATACCCTTCAAATGCAGCACCGCAGATGCAGTTATTATCAAAGTATATAGGAAGTCATGGTGTAGATTCTGTTCTTTTCGGTGAGATACTCAGATCTTTCATTTCTGAAAATACTGGTGCGGAATGGCAACCAGATGAGCCAGCTATATATAATGGGATTGAAGACGCACGCGAGAAATGCACGAAATGGCTCGAAGATCTCAATACTCGGGTTGTCGTAGGAGAAATTCAAAGAGAAGAAGAGCGGGAGCTCAGATTAGCGACAAACCCACAACTGATAGCTCATGAGAAGCAGCTCCAAGAGGAGGCCTTGTATGCGGCTGAGCTGGAGCAACAACAACAAGGTTTACCTGATGGACTTGAAATTATCACTACACCTTCTGTCACATATACGAAATCAACATTTGGTGAGTTTTCTAATCGTTTCTTTGGGATACGCTTAACACCACCACGCAAGCGGGACATTGCGTTAGAATCACCTCTCCTGATCAAGTACCACTTATCTTGAATCATTTGCAGACTGATAGAGTGAGCTGGTTTGTCTTTAAGCGGCTTTATTTAACCAGGACTTTAGAAAATTGCACGAGCAACGCATCCAGTGATAAGTGAGTGACCATCGCTTTAGTTATGTAACTCATATATCAAAGACGCCTGGAGGTGTAAAACACCTGACGGTGTTCAGCATCAAGGTGGGTCTCACAATTTATGAGACAGTATTGTATACTAATAAAAACTCAAGATAATGACGATGATGGTGAATCAGCTGCTGGTAATCGAATAGCACACCTGCTATCTATACTTGTGAGTATAGTTTTACAAGAATTATACATTCTAATTTACCATAGGATGTCAATAGTGTGTCCTTAACTAACAACTCGTTCTCACTTACACCCTATAGATGTTTTAGTGGTAGTTACACGATGGTACGGTGGTGTACACCTCGGCGCTGATCGTTTCAAGTATATAAACCAAGTAGCACGAGAAGCCATGGATCTGGCTGGTGTTCTCAACGATGATGACGAAATGAATGGTAAAAAAGCCAAAGAAATATCGCGTAAGAAGAAGTAAATTACATTTACCAGAATTATACATATCACTATAGAATTTCATGCATTGTTCATAAAATAAGACAAAAGCTTAATACCGCATTCTGACAATCGCGGTATCAGACATTGGTTGTCCTGTAATGTTTGTTCCCTTTTCATTGAATCCGAGTGTATGGAATGCAGTTGTAGCATTCTCAACTTCGAAGCTGTTAGATGCTGATTGATCTTTGAGGAATGTCGAATAGACTCCTGTATTTATCTTATATGCTATTTCCTCAAGCCTGTCTCTAATATCCATCCCAGAAGCTTGATCAACATCTTCATCCCCAGCTACATCCAAAATAACCTTTTGTATACGTTTTGTTTGCTTACGGAATCTAAGGCTAAAAATTCCGAGAAGCGTTTTCCATTTGCTTTGTTTTATGTGCGTTGTAGGTTCAACATCCATCTTTTCGGGAATGAGTGTGATGAATGCTCCATCCCTGCATAATATCCTCCTGCAACAGTCTAACGTTGCTAGATTATCGCTTTCATTCCAGCACAATCTTGCATCTATTACCATTTCGAAGCTACCTTCCAGTTGATCAGAAACGACGTCGAGAACACCACCATGTAACTCGTAAACGTTCGCACCGTAATCGAAATCATCGTATGATGTAGTTTGTACGAATATTTGGCACTTCCTAAGTTTCAACTCTTCAATAATGTAAGTTGATATCGAGTTGTAAGGATTTGAATTGGCTGTCAATACCAATATCCTGGATCCTCGTTTGAGTTGGTTCATATGGGAGTTAGATAAAGTCTGAGCTGCGAATGCTTTCAATGGAATTGTTGCAAGTCTTGACAAATCCAAGCTCGGTTTGTATGCAGGTGTACCAGCTACTCTGTTTCTATTTACAACGACGTATTCACTGAGGCAACCTGACTGAAGGGTTTGTTAGTTAAATCTATAAAGTCTTTATAATAAACTCCCCACCTTTTCCGTGGATAACAAACTCCACACCCATTCTTGCCTGTGTAGATTTTTCACTTTGAGCCCAACTTCTACAACCTGTCCTAATACCATTCTACCAGGAATAAAACCATATTCAGGACCTGGTGGTTCTTCAAGTGCGAAATTGTTTATACCAGTGCCTCGCATGAGTGTGAGAGCATCAAAGTTATCCAAAGCCGTGCTGTGAACTATAGATAATTGTTAGTTATTTTAACAATGTAATGAAAATAAACATACCCCTAATGAGAACAAAATGAGGGTCCAGCTTCTCAGGTGGTTTAGAATGACTACTCAAGCCGAGTGTAATCATTGGTTTGCTAAATTGCATGGTTGTGTAGTTTCTGTTACTACGTCCAGCACTCCAACTAAGACTTCTCCTCTTTTGCCATCTTTTGTTGCTTTTACTGCTAAATACCGATCTATTGCTCGATTTCGCTAATTTGTCAGCAGCACCGCTGGTTACACTGACGCTTAACATCGTTCTCTCTAGTCCCAAAGCATTGCTTGGTAGCATTTGATCGATAAATGTTGTTGGTTTCATCACTTGGCTCGTTCTTCGTGATTGGACAACTCCGCTGACAGTCCAACTTCTAGGCCGAGATGTCATGCTTGAGGAGGGCCTGATTGATGTAGAGGTTGCAGTAGACTTTGGATATTTCGTTGACTCACTCATAACGCTGCTGCTTGCGGAACCATTCCGAAGTTTTATAAATTCGCTCGGGAGAATCAATCGACTTGATGGTCTGTCGGGGATCGCTTCATTGGATTGTCTCTTTGTAGATTCATCAACATTTGTTGTCGGTGTCGAAGCTACTCTACGTCTTTCTCTCTTTGGGGGAACCGGAGGTAGGTTCTTTGCGGAAGACGCCCTTATAGTTGGAGTCTCACTCTGAGCAGATATGTTTCTCTTCCTCGCTGGGGGAACTTTTGGTGAGACTGTACTGACGACTGAATTGAATTCCGTTGAAGGGCTGTCGTTGAAGCTAACATGTGTATTGTCGAATATGCTATCTACAGTTGTATTCGCGGGACTAGTGTCTGCACTGATGTCTGCGATGTCGTCTTGGTCCACTGAGTTATGTGCATCATTGCTATCGACATTGAATACAGGTAAAGCGTTCGCCGCATTCTTGGCCTCCAGTTCATCATCGCTAGTATGAGAGTGTAAGGATGAAGAGGTAATTGATTCTTTTCTATGGCCATCTTCACTCGGAAACTGTACATTCGATGCAGTTGAGTGAAATGAAATCGCACTTGAGGCCGTCTCCAAACTCTCCTTAGCAGATACAAAAGATTGATCAGTCGTCGATGCTATAGACTGTGTATCATGAACAGACTTTAAATCACCAATTGACGTTGTATGTTTGAGCGAAGTCTGATCATCATCATCGTCATGGTCGTCGGTCGTTATAGCATTCAAAATGTCTTCGTCTAGTTGTATATTCCTAAATGTCTGTAGAATATTAAGAAATGGTAACATTATGAAGGTCACTTACGCTATCTGAATCACCCGCCTGTTTATCACCATTGATAGTTTCGCGGTCATCATGATCTCCTTGATCGCCGATCGTACTGCTTTCTGAGGCTTCCTCTACTTCTGTGAGGTCATCTTTATCTGCAGTATCTGAAACGTCGTCTGCTGTGTTCACTGTGCCTGCTGGATCGACCCTACCCATACTAACCGGCTGATTGTAGGGTAACTCGGAGTAGTATGATAATGGCCTTCTCCTCGAAGCTATGCTAGTACCATGGCTCTCATTACTGATATTGCTACCACCATTGCTATCCAAATTGCTGGTCTTCTGTCGACTCCATTGATATCGCCTCTCGAATCCCTGGGAGGAGTACTTCTGCGATGGTTTCTTAAATATTAATTGCTGCACCGTCGCTGAATTCGTCATATCTTATTTTACAATTTTCGTTGTTCGAATTGAAGCCTGTGTGATAGAGAGAAGCCAAATCGCCGGGGACATAAATATCAATATAAGCTGTTCATTATGTGATGGTTTATACAATTTATATAGTCATTATCATAATTTAGATATACATTAATGCATCCTCTACTAAAGGCCTCACAACCTTTCTACCCACACCTTCACTTCCAATCTGTTTCCAGATTCTACGGCGACCATATGGTTCTCCACCGTCGTCACCACCGTCTGATCCATTCCACCTTTGGACTTGTAGATTTCCCTCAATAGCTTCAACTATGTTGTCGAATGCAGTTTGTGCCATATCTGTACCATTTAGTCTTCCGTCGTGTCTAACTAGAACACTTATGTCTCTTATTTTGACTTTCTCGCCATTTTCATTCTTCACTTTGTGCTTAGAGAGAATGACGTTGATGTCACTCTTCCTATCAACCATGAATTGACGCTCGATAGCTCTATACTCTGCAAGTGTCTTGTTTGGAAGTGATCTGTTGATTTGCTCCCCAATCGAGAATGGAATGCTAGCGAAACCTAAGTGCAATCTGTGCTGTTCGTGATTTTCAGGCTGAAAGAGATCTCCTTTGTAATCTCTCTTTAATAAATCCAAGAAATCTAACTTATCAAGGTCATTCCGAGCATCTCTGTATGCTTTTGATAGTTTTGACATGTACTTGAAAAATTTCTTCCCTTTAAATTTCTTATCGCCATGTGTATATTTGTATAGTTGAGCAGCGGATCTAATGTCAACATCTGTCGCTGTCTCCAATCCACTACTATCTAATGCAATAGCAGCGAGTAACAAATCAGCCAACTCTTTCGGAATTTCTTGACCTTTCTTGTAGAGTTCCATGTGTGAGAAGAGCTCGCGTGCTACTAGAGAAGAGCAACTCTTGGTCATTTCAATAATGCGAGGGTTCGCATCCAATCCCCAGTGTCTATCTTTATGGTGGTCGATTATACCACTAATATTAGCTAATTTCCAATCTCCAACTGGTTTGGGATGATCAACAAGCACAATTCCCTTCAACAGTGGTGCAAGTCTCTTCACTTTCATCGGTAACTCATCGATAGCTAAATTGCGTCAGTGGGAAAAGATAATTTCTAAGAGTAAACAGACTGAGTAAATCCTGGTGATTTTGATGTGACATTTTTGCGTTCTCTAGTGCCATCTGATTTTCAGGACGCAAGTCTAAGGAGTCCCTTGGTGTCAACAAAAGCGCAATCGCATTAGATCCACCATGTGTATGCTCTAAATGATAAGCCATGGCGATAGAGCTCGCTAAGCTGTCTGTATCAGCAGCTTCATTACCGAGTGCTGCAATTTCTCAATTGTGTGTTTTCTAAGGAGTATTTACTAACCAATTATCCAGTCACCAGCTTTCCCTTTATCGAGATCAGACAGAAAACGTGCCTTGTTATCAGCCGACCACTTGCTCAGCCTTCCGTGGTTGTCTGTGTAAATCGGCGATTCATGTGTTACTACACTAGTAGACAAACCGAAATCGTTATCTTCTCTTAAGATATTACCGCTAAATAGTTGAGAAATGTAAAGCAGCGTATTTGCCAGTGTTGATACAATCATTTTCAACGTCGAAACTAAGAACAACGTTCGCAACCGTCATTCCATTTATTTCAACTATGACATAATATCAGACTATGCAGAAGTATAAAAGAAGAGTGTACAATAATCTATAAGAAATAACTTAATCCTGAAAAGTTTCTACCTAGTAGTTTTCGGTTTTCATTCTGAAATTTTTGTTAGTAGAGGTAGCAAAAATTTAATTCCTAAAACCCACTCTGTCAATCCAAGATCGTCATTTTGCTCATGAGTACGTTCGTACTCTTCGATAATAATTTGTTCATCTGGATCAGGTGCGTTGAAGTTTTGAACATATGAGCTAGCGAGTGGGTCATCGATGATAACTGTGAATGGCTGAGCAGCCGTGATGACTGACTTCAACTGAGTCAAGAACTTCTCAAATTCTTGCATTTGGGCATTACCAACCAAACCAGAATCACCTGCTTGGGTTGCGATAGCACTGTCACCAATAAATGCTTTCGTGGAGAGATCTTCATAAACTTGTTGGAGAAGACCTTCAAGTGTTGTGAATCTACCACCGAGTGTACCAGGTTCAAGTACGAGGTTTATTTCTGGGATGTTTAATCCTGCGTGCTCAGATTTAAGAATATCTCTAGACAAATCCTCTTCGTCTTCAACCTTCAAAGTGATACGCTTACCCTTTTCTGAAATGGCACCACCTGCTTTGACTTCATTATCTTTGAATCCACAATGTTCACAATTTGTGGACATGATCAAAATATCTTGGAAGTATGGGATGTTAACCTTCTTCATATTCGTTGGTGAGTCTTTGGCACAACTTGAACAGATACCTGGGAATTGGAAAACTTCATCTGCGGTAATTTCATCACTATCGCCGAATCCAGCGACTTGTTTGACGTTCTCTTGTGGTTTTTCATCTTCGTTGGCTAATCTAAGTGCTACATTCTCCTCGTGTGTGCGGTTGAAAGCACGGTAGCTCCATTTTGGATCGTTTGGAGATTCCTTGAAGGAGACAAATGAATTACCGGCTGGATCCCTAACTTGTAAGGTAAATGCAGTGAATGGGAGTGTTTCATGTGATTCTTCTGCTCTGTTTTTGTCTTCAAGGGTAGTGGTTGGTCCGTCGACAAGTTCTGGAAGGACCTCGTCAGAGGAGGCACCTACAGCACCTCTCAATCTGGACAATAAGTGGTTGATTTTGTTGTATACGTCGACATCTAAAACCTTTCTCAATGGTTGATTCATTGAGAGGTCTCTTATTGTGTCTCTGATGATACCCTCGATAGTGGTCAATTGACCTCTGCCTTCTGGGACGGAGAGTTCATATTCTAAGAATGAAACAACGGCATGCTCCGATTTTACGATTTGTCTGTCTAAGTCTGCTGGAGAAGTAACATGTACGGTGTGCAAACTTCCACGCTCTTGGATTTCAGATGCAGATTGAATCTCTGAGTTTGAATTGCCACAGTGTTCGCATCTGAAAGACATAACGACGACTTCTTTAAAGTACGGGATCATAGTGAGCAACATCCTCGTTGTACCAGTCTTCTCACATTCCATACAGAGTGATTCCATCTCCTGGACTGGATTCTCCTCGAAATCTTTAACGAGATCTCCAACGTTTTTGAATAAATTTTCCGACATCCTGATCGTCTGAGTTCAAGATGTATTCCTGACTAATCTCGGCCATGTCCTATATACGTCAAATACAGCAAAATCAACCAAATAAAAGACGTAGACATGATGAATCTAACGTATTTACTTCAATAAATGGCTACTCAAGGCATATCTCTACGAAGTCTTCAAAAAATCCTGATCATAAAGCTGACGGTGAATTGAGAATAGAAGGAAGTGATTCTTTAGTGAGATATGGTATCTTTATTCTTATATACCTTATTGACAACTCTATAGTACTTAGATCTCTCTACTTTACCTCCACCTGCACTACATAAGTACATGACTAATTATGGTCTTGCAGCGCAGCTCCCACCAAGACCAAGAGATGCTACTGCTGCTGTTGTACTCCCATTCGCTTTGCGTCCTTCTCTCGAACATTACTTCGAGGCTGCCCAAGGTGACAACAACAATGACGAGGAAATGAATGAGGAAATGAGCGATAATGGTAGTACTTCTATGAGGAGGAGACCTTCACGTAAGACCTCAAGATCGGTATCCGCACATCACGACGACCAAGACGAAATGCTTGATCCAGAGGATATGGAAGAAGAAGCTATCTTGGCTGATGTTGACGATGCCCATCAGCTTTTTAACAAGGTTGTTAGCAGTCACTACAGGGAGCAGAATGTGAGAGAAGTTGATAGTGTCGTCAGCTTTGTCCACGCTTTGCGATCAAAAAGTACGGATCTTATACTATATGTGCTAATTTCTCACAATCCCAATAGATAGAGCTCTCAAAGTGCTCCCACCTAGTTAAACCATATAGTCACATCATGAAATTACACTGAAAGTCGCATCTAATAAACTACAACACATTGAATGTACACCTAATTGCAATTGTAAATTAATTTAGACTTATTGAATAAAGGATTTTTTTAGAGATGTCATGACCGCATAGATAAGGAAAATTCTGACATAATACGGAAGGTGACAATAAAACGATGTACCGTCAACTCAATGAGTAATTCAGACGTTGGCAGACACTAAATTTTTAAGGGTAACGAAATGTTTCAATAAATAGTTACAACAATGCCCAATAAATACTCGTTTCAAACTCAGCTTAGATGAGTGGGAGGGCATCACAGCCGAGACCGATGAGTTCTTCACTGTCGAAGCCTTCACAACAGACCTTTAATATTCGTCAGTATATTTTGTTAAGCTACAGAAATCACTTACTGGAGTGTTCTTGCACTCGTCCTCAATAGCGACACCAATGATGGCTGGAATTTGGTCACATTGGACACCAACTTGGGAGGCAATATCACCAGTTGAGATGAGAGCATCGTTCTTGCCGGTGCTAATTTCCTTCTCTTCGCTGAGGTTACCTGCATAATTGTGAGACATACTTTATCCGAGACTAGTTACACTTACAGCATTGGATAGAACCGGTGTTACATGAACCAGTCTTTGATTCCCAGCCAGCGGAGACTGAGGCGACAATAGCAGCAGCGAAGACAGTTTGGGCGATCATTGTTATTGAGATATAAAAGAACTAAGAAGTTATAAGGAAACAAATTACGTGAGAAGCATCCGGCCTTTATATTGTAATAAAAAATCTTCAATCCGCACTTTAGTTCATTTTTCAGCTTACAAATTTGGAAAGTCGCATTCCTAAAACAGTAATAGAATCTCGACGTCAACAAAATTTACATATTTTCGGTACTTATTACTTTTTGGCGTACTTTTTTTAATATATTCATATTTTACTGTCCCCGCGTCTTACCTTTCTTTACATTTTCGCGCTAGTTCTTTATTAGCGCATATCTTTTCGATGAAATCACACTTAGCACAATGACTAGAAACCTAGCACTCTTAGTGCCGGAATGCTTGTATCATAAATAAATTCAATCATGATTCCTTGTTTCCTCACAACTCACAACTCATCCCTTTTCAATAACAATGATCGCCCAAACTGTCTTCGCTGCCGCCATCGTCGCCTCAGTCTCCGCTGGCTGGGAATCAAAGACTGGTTCATGTAACACCGGTTCTATCCAATGCTGTAAGTGTAACTAGTTTCGGGTGTAGAGTATGTCTCACTATTGGTGCAGGTAACCTCGATGAAAAGAAGGAAACCAGCACAGGCAAGAATGACGCTCTTATCTCAACTGGTGACATCGCCTCCCAAGTTGGTGTCCAATGTGACCAAATTCCATTACTCATTGGTGTCGCTATTGAAGACGAATGCAAGAACACTCCAGTAAGCTCTTTCTCTGGCTTAAAGAAATATACTGACGAATATAAAAGGTCTGTTGTGAAGGCTTCGATGATGAATCACTCATCGGTCTCGGCTGTGATGCTCTCCCACTCATCTAAGCAACCTTAGCGATAATAGGTCCCCATAAAAAGTGAACTAATCAAGCATCTGTATTTCTATGCATAATATTTACTTAGATGACTACTTGGTGTTACCATCCTCTCATTATGATGTTTTTGGCGTATGGCACCGAAAATTTTTAAAAATGTCTATTTATATACATTAGCATACATGCACCTAGATGTAACTAATTTTCTTTTGCTTTAGTCTTTCTGGAGTTTATAGGTTGTTTCGAAGCTCTTACACTGTAAATTATATCGACTAAAATCGTTTCATGGTTTTAATTTCTTTTGAGTATGGGTGTTAGTGGGTATTAAACAGTAACACTTTGCGTGATGTAGTTGTTACTATCGATGCTATTTGGTATTAAGCATTGCATTACTCATCTCATAAGGTACATACACTTAAAGGTACGAACATGGCTGAAAAATCCTATTAGGTGTCTGTGTATATTATAATTGAACTTTTCGTAGCTCGAATCATTAAGTGGTAGCTATTTCATAGCCGAATTTTATACGCGTTGTAGAAGTCAATTAATAAGGTAGTTCTAAACATTACGACTATACCCTATTCTCATTGGAATTTGAAGTATGAGTAGATACAACGTCGATTCTGTTTAACTCTCTTCACGTTTGATAGTATCATTCCGAATTCATCTACGTATGAGACTGTAATAGAGTTCTACAGAATATATACATGAATATCATGTTATAAAAGATAATATAAGACGACTAGAAACACATGTTATATGAGTAATGGTAATAAAATAAATGAACTTTTTATTCTAATATTCTCCAAAACTGTACGCTACTGGAGAGCAAAAAGATGTGACAGGAGTGGGATTCGAACCCACGCCCTTTCGGACTAGATCCTTAGTCTAGCGCCTTAGACCGCTCGGCCATCCTGCCGATATTGTTTCGCTCAAGCAGCTTTGTGTGTATCTTAAAGCATCGTAAAATTTTCAAATTGCAACTGGAACGGTCGATGTAAGCCTGCACGTGTCAGAATACAGATACAGGGCTGAACATACAGCATCATTTAGTGACTAAGGATAGAAGGAACAAGGAGTTACACCAAGAACCAAGAGGAACACCGAGGCGCAGTAGAGGACACGAGGACAACAAGGAACATGAGGACGGTAGAGACTATATAAAGAAACATATCTTGTAAAAAAACCATCATCTTAGATGATCATTCTATAACGTACTTATACTTTCACAACCTATAATAAAGCGTGTCTGATATTTACGTTCCAACAGCACGTGATTTCTGAAGATCTTTTCTCTTACCCAATCACATACAAGGATGGTTATCTAGTTAATTGCTTCACTATCTTGACAAGGGCACTTCCATTCGAATCTTCCCGATTGAAGAGAAACTAATCGCACTATAAGAAATACTGATGGGTAAAAAGCACAGTACCATCTTCATAAGCTTCGCAGTCGTAAAGTTCATGCTCTATTCGATATCGCAAGTAATTTCTCAAATGATATTGACTTTCCTAGCTACCCTCTAAAGTACAAATTATGAAATTATAGACTATCTCCTTTTGCAGATGGCGAAATGAATTTAGTATTGATTAATGACCAATGAAAGGGTTGTTAAGCGTAGTACAGCACCATTATTAATCAAAGTGTAGATAGGTTTTTAGTCCAACCAACTAATTGATTTTGTAATATTGGTACAAATAATTAATATTCCTGGGGATACAAATCACACAGAGTCAAAAGAATGAATATTGACAAAGATGATCTATTATAGCTATACGAAGATTGATATGGTGATGATTCCTATTGTTCTTAAGTATAGCTGCTGTTATGGCAGACTGTAGAGTGACCAATTATGATCAAGAATTCAAAGTACAAAAATAGGAATGTTGGATTATAATGCTTCCTTGTGCTATCGCTTCTAAGATTTCTTGTATCATAAGTCAGAGAATTACTGTGGTATCACAGTAACTAAGCAACAGATAAACATGCCTTGTCAGATATTGTCGTTTACTTAAGCAAGGCAGGAAAAGCTCAATAGATATGTACTAGTGCAGACTTTAGAAAAACTACTAAAGGTATAGAGCTTAAGGAACTGAAAATTTTGATGGTGAAGCGGTTATAATAACTCAAGGTGATTTATGAACATAACTGTCAGATGGTCAGGTAGCTACGCTAAAACATCATAACGAAACCAAACACGGTGATTACTGTGATATCTTTTTCTTTTTACATTTTTTCTGTTTGTCCCATTCTACTTTAAATATTCTAAACCTTGAAATCATCCCCCAAAGCTTATCTTTATTATAGTGACTTTTAGAATGCAGATACGACATATGAACATGAACCATTTTCAGTATCTCCTCATAATGCCATAAGAACTATGAAAAAAAGATAGCAATTATGTTTATAAATAGAGACAGGTTTAATTAATCCATTCTCATTACGGCTACTCGTTGCGATATCTTGATCATCCCACATAACAAACACTATGTAGAATTGATCACTGATAAGGCTTAAAAATACCGATAATAATACTCTACACTGATACAAGAGAAGTAAACCAAACTCAATTTTTTTTCGAGAAGTCGTAAAAATACTGGTAAAATTTATTTCCCGGCTAATTCGTCTGTCAGAATACCGATACAGAACTGGACATACAGCATCATTTAATAACTAGGGACAGAAGGAACAAGAAGTTACATCAAGCACAAGAGGAACACTGCGACGCAGTACGATCAAGAGGACAACAAGGAACATGCGGACAGTGAAGACTACTTGAGAAGAACATCTTGTACACAAAACATTTATCTACTTTTTAGATCGCATTATACTTCATACCTTTTCAACCAATAATAAAGCGCGTTTGATATTTACAAACCAACATCGTCTGAGAATCAAAGAATTGAAAAGCACGTTTCAATAATAGGGAATCAAAAAGTTAAGGCGCAAATAACAAAACATAAAATGTTATGGACATACCCGGAATTGAACCGGGGACCTCATCCAGATTGCGAAATTCCTCAGAAAATGCTAAGAATGCGTGATAACCCCTACACCATATGCCCGATGACGTACAGTTATTTCCTGATCATGAGTGTGCATCTATTCTACAAAGTTTATTGTTCTCCCAGAGTTGGCGCAATTGCATGAGGCCGCTGCCCCTGGGGTGGCGGTGAAGGCTTAGGTCCTCTCCTCACAAGAGGGTAGTAGGTTCGAACCCAATACGGTGCAAAAAGCATCTCAATTTACGACTCCGGTCAAGAAACGCTTCCAATTGAATCCCACAAACTCAAAAAAGTAAAATGATCCTGACTCTATAAGAAGTATTGATGGACGCAGTTTAACTTTGTATCGTCTTAACAATATATTCAGATTTCATCATCATCATCATCATCGCAATTGCATGAGATGGACGATCATCATCGAAAATCGGCCGATTTGCCGGAGGGGCATAAAAACCCTCCCAGTGAATCCGCAAGCGCCGAATTCACAGGTGAGCACTTTTTAAACGATATATCGTTCGATTTCGGTGCTGCTGACGCGCGAGGAAATCTCGACGCGTCGCAACACGGGAGGAGACAGAGTCAAAGACTCAATACTAATTTAAATAAGAGACGCAGAACCGCTAATGAAAATTACGGAGCGCGTAGTTTTGATATACTTTCGTTAGCTGAGCATCTCACCGATGTGATGACGCAAACCGTCGGGAAGTTAAAAGGTGAGTTAGAAAGCACATTCAAAAAGTGCATACGTGAAGAGCAGGACAAACACGACAAATCTCTCAAGGAGATGTCCCACAGATTCGAGCAGCAGTTACACGAATTAAGGGAGCAAAGGGTAACACCTAATTACTTGCCTGCAAC